AGCCCTTCATCCCAGCATGCTACAGGCCCTATATAAGTACCCTTGGCCTTTTGGTTATTGAGAAGAAGTTGTTTTAAGATTTTAAGACATCTGATCCCATTGACCTTGAATGTGGGTCAAGGTCATTCATTTGAACAAACTTGATAGCCCTTCATCCCAGTATGCTACAGGCCCAATATAAGTACCCTGGGCCTTTTGGTTATTGAGAAGAAGTTGTTTGAAGATTTTAAGACATCTGACCCCAGTGACCTTGAAATTGGTCAAGGTCAATCAGTTGAACAAACTTGGTAGCCCTTCATCCCAGCATGCTACAGGCCTAATATCAGTACCCTGGGCCTTTTGGTTATTGAGAAGAAGTTGTTTAAAGTAAAAAGTTGACGCTGGACAGACGGACGACGGACGCCGCACCATAACATAAGCTCACTTGCCCTTCGGGCAGGTGAGCTAATAACTGTTTCTATGTGACAGCTAATCAAAGAAACAAATATGTCATGGGCCGAGGCATTCGTACCCTGTATGTCGGACATGATCAAGGTCATTATCCAGACTACTACATGTATGTCCGACCTTCTCCAACCACAATCCAAGAACAGGAGACTGTTATCACCCATCTGAAATCTTCAAATAATTTCCTTAGCAAATCATTCTGATCAATTTATTACCTGGCGTTCCTTTACCACTTTCATTTTGTTTTTCACATTTGTGAAATCAGTGCCACCAAAGTTTTTTGGATGCCTCGTGTAATTGTTGCTTTGCTCTTGGTTCCTCTCTGCGACTGTGTTAGCCCATTCTCGGGTTCGGTCAGTCAGGAAGCTATAGGCAGGATCAGGGGGCGGTCCCTATAACACAAGATACAACCCAACCATGCAATGTTTAATCTGTTACACATGAGGACAAATATTTACTGGCATTTACTTCAAATGAAACAAAAAAAAGGAGAAATAAAGACCGGTCATAAAAATAAAACAGTTTATTAGATTAAAACTATCAAAAAAATATTGTTTTAAAAATCCATAACTATGAAAGTAATTGGGTTGTCATTTCGATCTTGAATTTCCAACTGGTCTTGGATATTGCAAGATCTAGATCTGCCAATATACAGATGTTGGACACACAAAAACATGTGTGACATGTATATACTACATAAGTAATAACACATTATTAGCATACAGTATATTTTTGTGGCTGTATACCTGTGGATGTACAGGTAAACGCAGACATTGAGGAGTGTGTTTTCATTTTCTGAAGTTTGATTGTGAAATTGGGTGGAGTTTAATCAAAATTTATGTACAGTATTTTGTTTTGTAAATCACTAACCATGCTAATGGTACTGCATATGTAAATTAATAGGGAAAAGTTCACAATATTGTAAATTGTGTACATGTATGTATTACATGTTACTTGTACTCAAATGTTAAATATTATGATTCATGGGTTTTTTCATGCAAACTGAATCAAAATTATCTCAAACTATTTCTATTAATTTTATCATACATATACCCCTTGTATGATTTCACTTCAGAGGCCTTGACCTTTGACTTTTGAAAATAGGTCCAAATTACCTTGACTTTTTCACAATCCTTAATTAAAGAGGCTATGGTTTTATCACATATGAACAAGTACAATCATTATTTAAAAAAAGTTCTTGGTTGAAGTTCCTTCATCTGACAGTGATAAACAAAACAATGACACAGATCAGTTTTAGTATTCAATTAATATGTGAGGTCCTTGTAACCGATTAGAAGTAAAGCTTAATGTATTTTGAAAGCTAATTGATCATCAGAACATGTATACAATTATTCAAAATGCAATCCATGGGTACAAAATATACCAGTCAAACAGCAGGAGAATAAGCCATGCATGGGCCTGTTCACAATTCAAAATTGACATGCATCCTGATGTTGTTATTACAGAAATATTTATATTTAATGAGAATTCTTTTGGTTATCCTTTCCTCAACATTAAGTCTAATGAACAATGTAAATAAAATCTTTAAAACTTGATCAGCATAAGTATCATGTATACACGGGCTACTTCCATGAACAGGTGCCCTGTGATACCAATGGCTTATAGAAAACTGCCATCATAACCAATGAACGTTATATTCATATAGTATGTGGAGGTGGGTATCGGGTAAAAGCGGTTTTTTAAAATCAGAACACATAGAACAGTGTTTTCATGATAAGAAAGCCATTTGACTTAAAAACCAGATGCATATTAAGTCACATTCTACAATTGTCGTTATTTAGAGACAAAATCATAATGAAGACTATAAACGTGAAAATATAAAACACACTAAATGAAAATGTAAGAAAGTATCATCATTCAAATGAGGAAGGAAGAAAACATAGACATTTGCAATTGGTCTAGTTCACAGCCAGACATTACATTAATCAGTACCTAAATATCACATATGCATATACATATGATTTACATCAAACAGCCTGTTAAGATTATCAAACTCAATCTTTGAATTTTAATTCTTTTGACCCAGACAATGACTTTGTTAAAAAAAACATCAATAAGTAACCTTGAATTTTTTACTTTCTAATTTGTGTTATTTCGACCATGATTTAAAGAATATTCCTTTTAGTGTAGTAATTAAGACTCAGAATACAAGTAAGTGAAATCCTGATCATTATCTTAAAAACAAGGATCCTGTAATTTATGAATGTATAATAAGGCTTAGTTAGTACAAAAATTCTTGAAACATTCATCAAGCTGTCCAGAAGTAAGTGCATTGAACTGCAAATCTATAGTGATACTGATAATACATACACATCTGTGACAACACTAGTTAGTGCTACTTAGTCAACATCTGACCTCTGATGGTGACTTTGGGTAGCAGAATACAGTAGAAATGGCCCGACTCTGATAAACAAGGCACATGTCGAGGAAATGTAAACACAGCGGATTTACCCTACACAACACATGTATACATGTATATATATTTGTAAACTGCATTACATTTACAATACATATAAAGCACTGAGAAGTGTATAACCCTCTTTTTTCTATGTATGTCACTTGTGTGAAAACCATGGTTACCACATCAAAAATTACCAAAAGATGCCAAAAAATGCTATTTTTAACCCAAAATTTGACGCCCGCAACTAGTATTTTTTTTCCTAAGCTCTGTCTGAAATTAAGATTACCTACCTGGTTGCAGAATTATCTGGGTCCCAGTAAAATTGTAAAACTTGATTTTTTGCAATTTTGCGTCGTGTGCTGTTGTCAAAATTTTACCTCCTGTAAAGCTAGCTTTTCATGTGTACGCACCCTTTCGTATTATGGCCAAAATTTTATTCTCGAACCAAAGAAATCTTCTTTCTTTTTTACAAATGTGAAGCTCACATAGCCCACTTCATCATGCTTATACCAATTTTAGTACAGTTTTATTTTTATATTTTTTTTACATATCATTATACAGGGGTTAGCCATTTAACAAAAATATCACCCATGGCCACAACCCTCTACTGTACTCTGCTACCTTATACATCACTTTTTTTTCCCCAAAATTTAATCAAAACCTTTTAAATGTCTGGAAAATGCGACAATGAACACAATGATGTATCCGTTTCCTTTCTCACTTTAATAGTGACCGAGTAATATGAATTCTCCTGAAAAGTGTATTTACCAATTCTGCTCTCAAACTACCAACAAAGGGAGGTAATCTGAAAAATGAAAACTTGAATAGGTTTGTAGTTTTCATGAATAAAATTTCTTTTTGGGTGAAATATGATGCCTTGAGATCATGTGCATGTAGAAAACAAACAGTACAGTGATACTATGATGTTACTGTCTTGTTTGATGACGTCATAGTAACTGTGATGTCATCATAACTATGACGTCATCAATGGGCATCTATGACATCATCGAGGATCACTGATATCAAAATATTGAACACTAGGAAACCCATCTCAACAACAAACTAGCAACAGACACACTTCCCGTAACCGATGAACAGCACAGAAATGTAAGATATTCTGAGAAATCAGACAAGTGCCACCATAGCAACCGTTATTTACTTTCCTCGCCTAGAATTGACAGTGACCCTCAGAAATTGTTCATTTAACATATTTCGCTAGAAAAAAAAGATTTTCTTCAGCTGTAATTATGGAAATAAAATTTATTGACATTACTGACTTTGCTTATTTCATCTGTATGCTGAATCAAGTGGAAAAAAACATCTAAAATAGTGTAATTAAAATGAAAACAGATATTTTACCCATTTTTACCCATTTTCAATAAATACAACTTTATGTATTAGTAACCATGGCTACCGGGTGCTGAACTGAGTGAAACAGACTGAAATCTAGTATGAATGCATCAGGAGATAGCCTGTGAACTATTTGATGTTTGGTATCAACTTTACCAATAACATAATTGACACATATGTGATGAATTGCAGAATTTCACAAGTGCCTGTGAAAGCGCGAGTTACCTCTCTTTATACATCCACAGGTAACAGGCTAATGACCTATATATAGACCTATCTATGTAACGGGTTTTTTGGCGTTTTTGAGTAGTTTTAAGTATTAATGAATGAAAGTGAAGCTGAATCAAGCATAAAAAGGGATTTTTTCAGAAAAAATCAAGTTCTATGTGTATATGGTAGCAGAATACAGTAGAAATGGCCCGACTCTGATAAACAAGGCACATGTCGAGGAAATGTAAACACAGCGGTTTTACCCTACACAACACATGTATACATGTATATATATTTGTAAACTGCATTACATTTACAATACATATAAAGCACTGAGAAGTGTATAAACCTCTTTTTTCTATGTATGTCACTTGTGTGAAAACCATGGTTACCACATCAAAAATTACCAAAAAATGCCAAAAAATGCTATTTTTAACCCAAAATTTGACCCCCGCAAGTAGTAATTTTTTTCCTAAGCTCTGTCTGAAATTAAAGATTACCTACCTGGTTGCAGAATTATCTGGGTCGCAGTAAAATTGTAGAACTTGATTTTTTGCAATTTTGCGTCGTGTGCTGTTGTCAAAATTTTACCTCCTGTAAAGCTAGCTTTTCATGTGTACGCACCCTTTCGTATTATGGCCAAAATTTTATTCTCGAACCAAAGAAATCTTCTTTCTTTTTTACAAATGTGAAGCTCACATAGCCCACTTCATCATGCTTATACCAATTTTAGTACAGTTTTATTTTTATATTTTTTTTACATATCATTATACAGGGGTTAGCCATTTAACAAAAATATCACCCATGGCCACAACCCTCTACTGTACTCTGCTACCTTATACATCACTTTTTTTTCCCCAAAATTTAATCAAAACCTTTTAAATGTCTGGAAAATGCGACAATGAACACAATGATGTATCCGTTTCCTTTCTCACTTTAATAGTGACCGAGTAATATGAATTCTCCTGAAAAGTGTATTTACCAATTCTGCTCTCAAACTACCAACAAAGGGAGGTAATCTGAAAAATGAAAACTTGAATAGGTTTGTAGTTTTCATGAATAAAATTTCTTTTTGGGTGAAATATGATGCCTTGAGATCATGTGCATGTAGAAAACAAACAGTACAGTGATACTATGATGTTACTGTCTTGTTTGATGACGTCATAGTAACTGTGATGTCATCATAACTATGACGTCATCAATGGGCATCTATGACATCATCGAGGATCACTGATATCAAAATATTGAACACTAGGAAACCCATCTCAACAACAAACTAGCAACAGACACACTTCCCGTAACCGATGAACAGCACAGAAATGTAAGATATTCTGAGAAATCAGACAAGTGCCACCATAGCAACCGTTATTTACTTTCCTCGCCTAGAATTGACAGTGACCCTCAGAAATTGTTCATTTAACATATTTCGCTAGAAAAAAAAGATTTTCTTCAGCTGTAATTATGGAAATAAAATCTATTGACATTACAGACTTTGCTTATTTCATCTGTATGCTGAATTAAGTNCAGAATTATCTGGGTCCCAGTAAAATTGTAAAACTTGATTTTTTGCAATTTTGCGTCGTGTGCTGTTGTCAAAATTTTACCTCCTGTAAAGCTAGCTTTTCATGTGTACGCACCCTTTCGTATTATGGCCAAAATTTTATTCTCGAACCAAAGAATTCTTTCTTTTTTACAAATGTGAAGCTCACATAGCCCACTTCATCATGCTTATACCAATTTTAGTACAGTTTTATTTTTATAATTTTTTTACATATCATTATACAGGGGTTAGCCATTTAACAAAAATATCACCCATGGCCACAACCCTCTACTGTACACTGCTACCTTGACCTTCGATTCTACTTCGAGTTAGCTCCTACAACTGTGAGGGATTTACGGTCTAGTGATGATACATACATCCATAAATGATTTCATTAAATTGTCTTCAGGAATGGTGATCTGGACAAACAAAATGGAAAAAAAAAGTATCTTACAAAAAAACGAAGGTAAAAAGCACAGAGATATAAACAAAAGCAAAGGTTTACACTCACATTAGCAGAGGGTTCCTTGTGAGGAGGAGAGCTAGCACCACCATGCGTACGTTTACGACGAGGCTCATACTCGGAGTCCTGAAACTGAACTCGCTTGTCCCGGTTGTTATCCCGGTTGTATGACCTCTGTTCCCTATCTGGGTCAGACTCCCTAGATGACTGCTTGTTGTATCTAGGAAGCTCCCTATCTGGGTCAGACTCCCTAGACGACTGCTTGTTGTACCTAGGAAGTTCCCTATCTGGGTCAGACTCCCTAGACGACTGCTTGTTGTACCTAGGAAGCTCCCGGTCTTGATCAGACTCCCTTGACGACTGTTTGTAGTAAGACCTCTGATTCTGGTTTTCCCGAAAGCTGTGTCTGCGCTGAACATTATGGTCCCTGTCCCTTGCGGATCCTTGACGGTTATGCCTTTGGTAATCCTGAACATCTGGCGACCCGGACTTGTTGCCATTTTCCCAATTGTTCTGGCGATAAGGCTGCCGATTGAAGTCGTGGAAGTCTGCAGACAGGGGTCTCTGAAAACCATTGTTATGAAAGCCATGGATATAGGGCTTGTCGGTGTCTCTGTGGACTGCACTGTTCCAGGCCTCAACCAGAGACACATCGTCATGGCTCTCACCCTCATTGTTAGGTAACGCACGCATAGCACGTGCACGCCTGCCCTGCACCAAGAAAGCACAACAATGGCATGCAAAATCAGGTCAGTAACTCCAGGGAAGGTTAAGGTTCAAATAGGGTTTGGATAGCACATAACATTCCAGTTCACTACACAATACATTTTTCCATTATCATCAAATATTTTTTTCGGCGGTACAAGTACTTCGTTTTTCTATAAAATATTGATGAAGATGATTTTAGCAAATACTAACTCTCAAACAAGGATTAGAATATGCAAAACTTGACAGATATTGGATGGCTTTATACTGTAAAGAAATAATTGGAGTTACCTCCCTTAACTTTCAAAAACTCCCAGGTCAAGTGAATTTCTTTTGGATATTGATTTTTCAAAATCAGATCAAATTACTTTGGCCAATCCTGAATATGAATTGACATATATGCTATCCACCAATATTTTCTTTAACAGCCACCATATTTCACAATGACTGGTCATTCAAAATACTTTCTTACTAAAACTAACAAATAAATAAACATACATGTGCAGCTACATGTATACATGTATTAACTCTATGGCTATGACAGATAAATTTACATACAAAAACATATACATTTAACTGATCAGAGCTACAGCAAGAAGATTATGCAGCATTACTATTTGTCCTCAAATTATGTGTTTACCTCATAACATGACAATAAACAATGTTTAAATCAACCAGGAGTTTTCCTGCAGAAGGTTTTTACAATTTCTTTTTATTCTACCACAGCATATTATTAGATTTAAAACAAAATTTGCAAAAATGTCAAATCTTCTGATTCTGTATCAATGTATATTCCATGATGACATGCATGTTTTAGTGACGAATTGTATCTGTAAACTGTTCAGAGCTGTACATTATGAAAACTAAACTACTAGTACATTAATTTAAAAACAAGCATTTCTAACAAAATTTAGTAGGAAGAATCTACATGCACCATTACAAAGTTTCAGAAAAATAAATTGTTAATTAAAACTAAAAGGGAAAAATAAGAATAATTTGGATTTTAAATTCATACTGAAACAGATCTGTCTAAGGTAGGTGTGTCAGATTTGAAAGAATGGAATATTTAATTAGAACAGGAAACAAGAGACAAAGTGGCCTTAATGCTTAGCCGAGATACTGCAATTCAGAAAACACCAATTAATACAAAATATTGGACTGATCTACTCTTGATAAGGAAGTATAAGGTACTAATGCTATCTAACAAATTCCAACAAACAATAAGTCCATATTGTTTTCAAAATGGCCACTATGGCAACCATATAGACTTAGGATGCTCCATTATTTAACTGACTCAAAAAATATCATTCAGTTTTAAAAATCACAGCAAAAGATTAAAAAAACAAAACAAAAAAAAAAACCAACTTATTTATCATTGGTCCCATTGAGCTCGATTTTAATTCAGCACTGGTTTTCAAGATGGCTAGGTTGCAATCTTTTTTTAATATGGACCGATCCAGAAAGTGACCAATAGTTGATTATTCATATTCAGTTGCAGTAAAATTGTCTCAGTAGAATTAGTTTAAACTAGGTCTTTAAATTGTTTCCCCTGATGACCATGCTTGATTTTAACAAAAATGTTAATGCGGGACGACAGATAAGGGAGGATGGCAATAGGTCCCATGTGTCTGTGGATCAGGTGACCTTAAACCAACTTATGTCATGTAGGTACCATTGCCAGGAATTATTTAACGGCACAGTTATACTAAAAATAAAAGACACATAGATATCATTACTAGGTCACCTAGTTACAGTACTATTACTAGGAGTTATTAAGCTACCTGGCAATTGTTTCCAGGAATTACTAAGCCATCTGGCCACGGTTACTAGGAGCCACTATGCCACATAGTTACACTTTCCATGAGTTAATATGCCACCTAGTTACCATTACTAGGGTTTACAATGCCACCTAGTTACCATTACTAGGGTTTACAATGCCACCTAGTTACTGTTACTAGGGTTTACAATGCCACCTAGTTACCATTACCTAGCACTTGGTTTTCATAATGCCACCCAAATACCATAAGATGTATTAGGAGTCATCAGGCTTAATTACAACTACTAGGTGCTACTAAAAGCCACTCTGGTATCATAACTAGGAATTATATATGAATTACTGGGCAATCAATTACCATTACTACCAGTAATAGTTACTAGGCCACCAATTTCTATTAGCTAGAATTACTGGGCATCCATTATCATTACTGGGAGTTTCTAGACCACACAATTTCTATTATCAAAAGTTAATAAAAAGAGTTGCTCCATTATCATTATTAAGAATTAGAAAGTCATACATGCATGTATCATTAAGAGAAACAATGACATCCTGGTATAATCACTAAGATTAACCAGGCTACCTAGTTACCATTACTTGAGGAATTACCATATATTGTTTAGTTACACATAGTGTATTTACTACAAGAGTTTCTAGAAAGCATGCATCTCAAGAGAAATGGGGGACTGTAAATGAGACACTAATGAACATGCACATACTGGTTGTGAGATTTCCATTAATATCCTAAAACACAACTAAAGGACAGTCAAAACTTTATAACTAACAATGAACTGACAGCAAGAATTACAACTCCAGGTCTGTACGAGCAGCAAGGAATACTGAAGTACATACAAACATTTTTTTACCACTAAACTAAGAAATATGGCAAATGTTTCCAATTTATTTGACATAATAAATTCTTGCAATAATCAACAGTCAATGCTTAACTTCTACCTGCATATTTCTTGGAAAAATAAATACACTACTACATAATCCCTCAATATGTATCATAATTACATATATGGTAAAGGAAGTTACACAGTAAAGCTACAACTCAGACTTGAGGGGGGATGACCTACTTGTGCTTTTGGCTTGTCTTTCCTATTTTTATCTATCTGTTTCCCTCGGCCAGCAGATTTAGGAGTTCGTGGAGCTTCCAGTCTCCTGTTCTCGTCTCTCACAACAGTCTCAACAGGAATGGCCTGTGTGAAACAGCAAACAAAATCTGATGTCCACTTCAGTGTATTACACACTCAGAAATATGCCATTTCTCATTTTTTAATCTCTACATTTAACATTCAAACTGAAAACTATAGCATTCTTGTTAAAATGTTACAAAAAATTGTGATTAACCCTTCCTCGTCAAGTGCAGTGATAGGGCTTACATTTCACATAAGTCTCGACATTAAAACCAAAATGTTACTTCTCAAATCCTTGAAAAACACAAAATCAACATTGCAGAATCACTTTAAATATAAAATCAGCATGAAATTACTGCAAAGTATTATAAAGTTTGTATTCTCACAGTGGTAGCTCATATGACCACTTAAACAGTTGTACCTTTTGTTCCTTTGTGGGTGAGGCCTGCCTGTTTTTGACTGGGCTACTTCCACGTTTATCTGCTTCTATTTCCTGTAACAAACAGTATTTCCAATTAGCACACATATACTTGTGTTGATGTTTTATTACTACAAAGTCCACGAAAAAGAAGTAATAAGACACAAATTAAAATATTGTTAGTTCCTTAGAATTACCCCTTTCATGTTTCGTCTATTGTTCCTTTAACATTTTCCAGTTTCATGTTCTTCTTACTGTATTTTTAGTTTACTGAGTGCTTCACGTTCCCTTTTTATCTTTTTATTTTCAAATATCCTGTTTCAGGTTTCCTTTATTGTTCCATGAAATTTTCCTTTTTATGACTGATTTCCTGTAATTTTCAAGCCATGACATTGGTTAAACCAAGGCAACTGTTTATCAATTTTTCATCTTACCTCCAAATACATGTAGATATATCTACACATGTAACAGCTGTTAACCGGATTAATTTTCATCCAAAAACATGGTTAACACGAAAAATATTTTACAGCTACAAATTTCCCTGGTATTTTCTTTATGAAGCTTTACATTTTAGTTATTTACCTCATGACGTTTGCGGATTTGGTCGTTTTTTCTGCGGATCTCTTCCATTTTTTTGCTGAGCAAAGCCTCCTTTTCCTCTTTGGTGAGGATGTCAAGGAAGAGCTCCTGGTTTGCAGAAATCTGTTAAAATCAAAACTTGAATGAATATCAACTTTATCTTTGTGTACAATTAACAGAAAGGTGAGTTCCATTATGCAGTTGAACATCAATATCTTTTATATGCAATAAGCTAAGTTTTCCTTCTTCTAACATTAGAAAGCTAGCTAATGTTGTGAAAAATCCCTAATATGATGTCACTTATGATGTTTATTGAATGACATTATTAATGTGAATTTTGGCAAAAACAAGTTGAATTTGTACCGCTACACCCCAGACATTTTTCTATAATATTTTTGAATTTTATCTGTAGAATCAATGTTATATCAGGTATAAAGTCACTGTGAACCAAAATGATATGTGGTATAGGCAATGACCCCTAAGACAATATATAGTATATATGAACCTTAGAAGACTACCACTAGGGATTTGTCTCCATTTGGCCTACAGATACCTGATGTCCTCCTTCATCATACATATTCCAGCATCTAGTCAGTGACTTAATTACTATCTTAGATATGTTGATCATTCACTAATGAATCCCAAACATTAAGGTCAAATAATTAAATTATAATAGTCCCTAAAAAAAGTATACGTTTAGAAAAAAGTTTCCTTACCTGGCCTGACATTTTAAAGTTTACATTATAGGAAATAATTCTTACCTGGGTAGTCATGTTGACTTGCGTATTGAGGAAAACAGACAGGGAATATTTAACAGATGGCCATTTAGTTTACTTTGGTGGACTTTACGTGTTGCCCCTAAAATCCTGAAAAAGAAAGAAAGAAAATATATAAGTTAATAATTATTATATTTGACATATATAGTAGTACCTGTATTGCCTTGCTTTTTTGCTCAAATTCAAATAATTAAATAGTACTGGTAAAATTATGTTATTTATTTTGCAAAAATAGTCATAATCATTGTACATGTTGTCATATAGTACATATTTTGACATGCAGTGTTTCCCACTGTATATATCAACATTAGTATTTTAATTATCTAGTTATGTTTTTGCTATGCGAGAAGGGCTGTGCGTATATTGAGAGTAAGTGTGTAGCGAGGTCTAAAGTAGTGCTGTGTATATGTAGTAGAGGCGCTGTTAACCTGGTAGTACATCAGCTGGTAGCTGTTATATGGCAGTCTGTGTGATTCACTCCCCACACCCAGACAGATAAACACACACATCCTAGCTATACATGTGCAGACAGCAAAAGCCAGCTATAACTCTACAGCTATCTAAAAACTCCCTCATCATCTTTGAGCATATGGCATCATATCACCTTTCGTTTTACCAGCTGGTATAAATAATACCAGACATTTCACATTTCAAAACACATGATCATCTTCTCTCCAATGTCTGTGATTCACAAAACCTAAATTGTAAATAACTGACACTGAGAAAGCATGTACTTTTCTACAATTTGTGTACAGTTCTGATGTACACTATACACATAACATGCGTGTAGTACAGTTTTGCAGCACACATGTATAATTGTATCATAAACATGCATGTAGTACAGTGTTGCAACACACATGTATAATTGTATCATAAACATGCATGAAAACAATCTAACTGATCTTTATCAACACATTTATATTTATACACATGTTAATTGTTTTGTTACATGAGTAGCATTAATATCCTATTAACTGCACTTCACAGGTTTTTTTAAATATTTTAATGACTTCAAATTTTGTTTGCTACAAATTTAATACATATGTTGTAAGTTAACAAAACATCTAAACTAAAATTCCATTACATTTCTTCTGTCACTGATGAATGATAATGTTATAAATGTTAGTTAAAATGACAGGTAAAGGTTTAAAGTTGCTGTCGTATAATCAAATGTACATGCAATTTGCTTAATTTACAATGTACATGATATACCTAAAATGTATCTTTAATTGAGAAGTGATTCACTTCACCTTAGCTATGTGCCTTTCACTGTCTAACTATTTACAGGTGCATGTGTACAGCAGCTACTATAGCTACCTTTCAGCTCACTGACTGAACTGATTTATTTTACTGTAGTAGTGTACATAGGTGCTAGGTAGGTCAGTAAACAACAGTAATCACACCAGATGTGTTTTTATTACACCAAAATCGAACAGTTCTAACACTTTTATATTCAATGATCGTTATGCTTAGAATGAATAATTCACGATTTGACTTTTATAGCATGGAAATGAATTTCCTCTCTGATCCACATGATCTTGTCAACCAGCCAACATATAAAGGCTGTATATCTGTATCTACAGGTACACAGGTTCTTTACCATACTATCTACATCTTACTTAGCTACTATAGTATATATGCCTGTATAGTAATCGGGAAATATGAAGGCCAGGGGCCAGGCCATACACATTTACAGGAACTGGCCCATTGAAATATATGACTAGAAAATGTTTGTAAAACATCTATATGACACTTATTCCGCTTCAATGAAAACGGAGATGAATGTAAGGTCTTGTAAGGCCAAAAAAAAATTGCATTCATCACATGAGAAATATTTGAGTTTAAAATGGCCATAACTCTTGTATAAGTTGATTCAGGATCCCTGCACTCTTATGACATGGAAAAGTTCAATGATAACAGTGACACATACAAAATTTCACAACATTCTGTTGAAAACTGATACCCTAGTGTGATCACAAGAACAATTCACTATTTGATTTAGGTTAAAGGGCCACATCTTTTGCAGAAATTGAAGTTAGCTCCTGATTGTATCACATAATTATGACATATGCAAAGCTTCATATGATATCTGCAACATATACAAAGATTCATTACGTATAGACTACGTTAAAAACCGTGGGACTAGTTGTGCTCATCAGAAAAATGTAAGATTCAAAGGTAAAATAACTCTTGAAAAAAACTGGGTCCAACTTTCATGATATGCAAATCTTCATACGATGCCAACGGACAGACGGACAGCGTGGTAGCTTATTAATACACTGTGCCTAATAGGCGAAAAAAAAATTGCGTTTGTCATAAGCCAAACATTGCATGTGCCCCCTATTTAGGTAAAACAAAGAGGCCCAAGGGCCTTCGCGGTCACCTGAGTAATGTCATAGGTACTGGTAGCTCAATTTTATTGGGAGATTCGATGTGGAAATCAGCATGTAAACTAAGTGAAATACAATACTGGTCATGTCATCAAAGGATAAGAATTTTAAAATGTTGGTAAATTTTCCCTTTGGGGCCCTGCCCTAGCCCCTGGGAATGGGGCAGGAATCCCAAATTCACAATGTATTATCCTCATCTACCAAAGATCAGTCTGACCAAGTTTGAATCATTTTCTGCTGAAAATGGATCCCAAAAGTGTTATTTCCCTATATAAACTCTAGTAAACTTTACCCCCTCCCCAAGGGAGAATGGATGGCTCAGGGTCCTGAAATTTACAATTTAAACAAAGCCCCTGATGATCTTTCCATCCATGTATAGAAATTGATTGTAGTACCTCTGAGTCTGAAAAAATTCCATCCAGTGGTTCTTGAGAAGAAGTTGAAAAAATAAAAAAATGCACGACGACGGACGGAAAGCAAAGCTCAGGTGACCTAAACATGGTTATCTAATGTTCTCTAAATCAAATGTTTATGCTTTGATCCCCCTTAAAACCATTTTTAATTTCAAAATTTGCTTCAGACATATGTTGTTCCTTTATAACGATATTGTAGACCATGAAATACCTGATCAATATGTATACATTGAACAAACCACTTTTACTGGAGCAACTATAGTCTAAGCAGCTTCAGTATAGCTATATAGATGTGTACATGTACTTATATATTATACTAGCTACTACAAGTCTGTATATATATATTAACCTTATAATTACTGTACTACCTTAACCTATATCTATGTGTATCCTGTCTTTATTAGTCTGCCTAAAATATTTCTCTTTAAGAATCTAGATAATGTTTTCTTATCTTCCTCCATGTCAACATCAGAGCATGTGGATACAGATATTTCAAATGGAGTGAAGCTACAAATTAGTCAAGTTATGTGTAAATACACACATATTTCCAAGGTTTTAACTGATATGCAAGTGCTATTTCCTCTACATGTCCTTCTAGTGTAAAAAGTATTTTAATAATAATTAACCTTTTAAAGACTTTTCGTGTTTAAAGTAAAAATGAAGACATGTATCCTAAATTGGTTATTACTCCTACCAACATATCCAAGGTTATTGTTACAAAACCATATTAATTGTTAATGAAATAACATCGCTTAATTATAATTTATTTAGAACTTTCAATTTTTTTCAATGAGAACTTTTATTGTATATCATTTTCTCCTCGTTATATACACCTGTAGCTATTAAACATAATATAATCAATCAGATCAGCAATGTCTTGCATGAGACATACATCACTAACATGTTTGTCACCGGTGCCAGGTTATTTGTCAAATCTAGTCCCTTATCTGACAGATTTTATTTCGTCAGTTTATAACTGTACGTATATCATCTGTATGAGAATCATAAATCTTTCAAATAAGGAAACCAAAATCAAATCAGCTAAATGGAATTCCTTTTGACCAAATTTACAGATATATCTTACAGATAACAAATGAAGCATGTCAACTATTTTCCTTAAGAATGTCAATATCAGGACCTGATAATTTACACAGGTGAAGAGATAATGGTTGGTAAGCAGCCAAAGGTAGGGCCAGGTATGTATAGAATGCTAATACACCAGAGATGACAAGGGGGTAACTAGTCTGGCGTGACGATCCAATACACAGGTAGTATATACCAGCCTCAGGTCATAACTGTTCACAAGCTTCTTGTCAACTTCTCCAGCTTACAATGTACACTGCTGATTACTATATAAATGTAACCAGCACAAACTCCTTCCCTCTATATGTAGTAACTTGATACTTTGTTTAACCCACCCTTATCAGTCATGTAACTTGTAAGACACATCTGTGTACAAAACACTAGATATACATATCTGGGAACAAACATCAATTGTCCTGATAGAAAATAATGTTTGTTTTCATGTATTTTTATTTCTGTTTCAACACCTAACCTTCATATATATGTACACAAATATTTCATTTTCCGAAGTTATTTACAAATATAAAATTATATTAAGAAGAGTAACAAATCAAAATATTACTAAACTAACTGATATACATGTACTGTCAACTTCAGTAATTTTAGGTTTAACCTAAGATGTAATGCACATGTGATATATCTTATCATATCAGATCCATCCATCTTATATATCAAAATTATGCACTGATAATGCAAATAATTATAATGGTCTGATAAAATGTCTTATGCAGATCACATAGTTTAAATGTATTTGCTAAGGTTCTGGTATATTAAATTGTAACTTCTTTTCTTACTTTAGTTCAGTATTACCAATTTTATTTAATTGCCACATACCCAAATTAAATATAGCAATCGGCAATATATTGTTTTTTATGTGAATGATTGATTAAGATTTAAGTCTGTTCCAGACTTTTGAAAATATTTTTGCTATTTTTTTTCTTTCATATATCAATTTATTATTGTTTTCACTATTTAGCAAGTCAATCTTTCCATTCATTTGTAACTTTTGTTAATGCTAAATTGTATTAATTTAATCTTGATCAAGCTGACATGTTAATTTCTGATTATGTCAGTATTCTGTTTACAACATATTCATGGCATGCGTTTTTTGTATTCATTTGTTGAAATGAGTAGATCCTAAGATGCAGTGCAGCCGTTATATTTCCCATTACACCCCTTGAATGAACTGATACCAGGGAATGATAAAGATGACGTTACATGCATCATGTAACAGTGAAATCAATCTACCGTTAATTATAATTACATTCAAGTGTTTTCATATTCAGAAATCACACGTTTTTCTGGTGACTTTTAGTATATCACAAATATGCTCATTCAGACTGAAAATAGAACCAAGTGAATCATGAATTCTCAGATAAAAATTTCAATACGCCACTGATATAACTGTTATAGGCAGTACACATGGATTTTCTGTACGCCTGTCAGATCTCCTGCCGGAACCCCTGCAACGAGGGCGAAAGGAAAAGTGAAGTTGTTTGGCAAGACTTTGTGGCCATTTTTAGAAGAACATATGACTTTAGCAGGATAATCCTTTATCAAAATTGTTCGAAAACACGATAGCATTGTCTTTTGCGAACTTAATCAGCAGTTTGGAGGTAGTTTTTATACTCACGAAAGTTATCCTGCCATTCTCGTCTGACAGCCAGAGCACTCCTTGCCTTCAACGCAGAAGAGTTCTTGCTATACCAAATAAAGTTATCTTTGTATTTGCGCGGTAAATTCAAATATGAAATTCTTGCATTTTGGGTTTTCTAGTTTTTCCAATATATACACTAATACATAATGACTTTGATCATAATTACAATAATGAATAAATGAATTAAATGTTCTATATCATTTCTTTAAACTGTTATGGCAATATTGGTGATTGCAAAATTAAAAGCAAAGGGCAAATAATCATTTTTTTTCAGGGATTCAGTTTTGAAAACTGAATATATCTTACAGTCTTTTTTGGAAAATAAAGCTCATTTTGGTCAAAGAAAGGAAAAAAGCTGCATTGTATCTTAATTAGTGTTACACGGAACTTAACTGGGTTGATCATTATCACCCAGGCATGACTTCGATATTCCAGGAGTTTATGACACTCTCTGCACCCCTGGAATATGTCAAAGCAAAATATTATCTAAACCCTTAAATAATCTAACAATACTCCATACACATCAGAAAAATGAGCAAAATATTGCACACATGTTGATTCTCATGAGGTTATTAGGTCGCAGCAAGAGATCAAAGGTCAAACATCAGCTGCCCAGATTTAACTCTAAGTAAATACTCGTTGAACTTTCTGAGCTGAAAGTTTGCAGATTTGTGCTATATGAATTTCACATAATATTCAATTATAGCATTTGGCTGAGGTCATTACCTGGATTTATCGACCCGAGAAAAGATATATTAACCGAAGACGCAGTCCGAGGTCAATATTTCTTTTCTTGGGTCGATAAATCCAGGTATTGACCGAAGTTAAAGGCTACAATTGTTTTATTATTTTACAAAACAGTAATGTAAGCAATCTGAAAGAAAAACACAACAAAAAAGCTTCGAAAGTGGAATGGTGCATTGTTTGGAGACACATCATAATTCTATTTTTAGAACACCTCCCCCCCCAGTCGTCCTTCAACAAAAATCATGCGCTCCAAGTCAATATCGGTTTTTATCGGTGGACACGTGATGCACTCCTGGCCAATCACTTGTCGGGAATAATATAAAAAAATAATAATGTGACATATCCTGTTTAGGTCAAATGCTCACTAGGGAGTCAAGCTTTAAAAACTTCTGCTCACTTTGTTTTCATTTAATTTGTATGGTGTTCAAAGTTTGTCTGCAAAGTTTGTTGTTAAAGCATGGTAAACAATTTACGGCTCTCAGTCATTCTATAAATATCTACCGAGTTAAACAATTAGGTAAACAGTAAAGGAGGTCGGGCAATATTTTATTGAAGACAGTGAAAAGGTCAATGTCCTTGCATTTGTCATCTTCAAATTATGATATTATTTTTACATGTAAACTATAATTAAATGTAATAATTTTAGTTTTGAGAATGGCTGTTTATGGTTCTACATATAGAGTACAAGATCAAATAATATTTGGTCATCCAGCACTTAAGACTTGTACTCTAACTCACCCTTACCTTCCACTGCATATACGTCCCTAACTCATCTCTAAGTCTCCTATCCCTGTAGATCTAGTGATGTAACTGTTGATTCAAACAAAGATGATGAATTTCCATGGTCATGACACCTGTTTTGGTTACCTATTAGCACTGTATGTCTTGAAATCGATTTAAGTTGAAAGTTAAAATTTAAACTAAACTGAAATGTACATATTCAACCACAAGATACATTTGAGTATATTCATTCAACCTCTTTTATTTCTTTAAAACCATAAAATCTTACTACAAGGAAACTACAGTTATATTGAAACTCCCAGCCACCGACTGTGGCACAAAAATCTTTTCAAGGTGTATCCATATTTCATCTATTCTCCTTCGCCATCTTTTTCAATATTTTCTCTTTAAAATCAAGCAATTGAACTATGTCTAAAATTTTCAGGAGCCAGGAGACAAATCTTTGAAAACTCTGGTCTTTTTTCCTTTTACTACTAAAATGTTCAAGAAAGGCCATCGCAATGTAGTGTACCGAGATACTCAACTATCTGTCCCTCCCTAAATCGATACATTCCATCCATTATGGTAGTTATATATATACATGTACCTCTCTAACCTCATATGAATATGGATTCACCATAGCAGTTATATGCCATTGTAAGTTAACATAAGTCAGTGTGTTCTAAAGTAGTAACTGTCTCGTCCTTTCATGTGACTTGAAACCTCCTTGAAGTGAATTTACATCAACTATAAGAATTCTTAAAGTTATGACATCAAGTGAAAATAGATTCCCCCTTGTAGGTCCAACAATAACCTGAAGACAAGATTCAGCCAATTGCTTTCACAATTAATAGGCTGATGTTGCTAAAAGTTAAGAGTTTTTTGCGGTGAATTTTGTGAGTTCCGACTAATTTGATGCCATTTAACACTCAATTATTATGAAATTATTTTTCATTCTGTTTCATGTGGACAGCAGGTATCGAGGTCATAACTTGTGCAGCTTTTCACCTTCATTCAGACACATCTAAATACAAACTATCTAATATCTCATAAAAGAACAAAGAAAAGGTTTGGGGTTAAAAGTCAAAGGTCAATGTCATTGTGGCTCAAAACACATTCTGGAACATAATCAAAGCCAAAGTTCAATATCCTCATTATCCAAGCCAAGACCAAAAATTGTTTTTGAGTTCAAAGGTCAAGGTCAGTACAATAATTTGCAAACCCACACATGGGCTAAGAACTCTATTCACTCCAGGTTCAAAGGTCAAGGTCAAGGCTTTCATTCTAATCACACACACTGTTGTTTGTCAGCAAATCTTGATTCATAGTTTTGGGATGTAATTTTAACACTTAAAATCTGCAAGGGTAAAGAACTAACGTCCAATAAGTGTTGAGAAAAGTTTAAACATGCATCTTCTAGGTTCCAGGATACAATCTGTTCAACTTATAAAAAACATCCTTTTTGTAGGTACTTTGCTAGTGCAACAACACCTGCATGTATACATCTCACATTACTTAGAAGTTTTTGTTCATGGACAAATTGTCAGTATCAATAATAGTAAAAAATACAGAAAACAATTATAGAAATGAAAATTTTATTAAGTCTAGTAATAATTATTAAATATGGTGTACAATATAGAAAGATGAGAATAATGTGGTAAATCAGTATATCTGTATAAATCTATAGTGTAACAGCACAAATACTGACTCCCCTTAACAATCAACATATTAATATAACAAAAATCACAAGTCAACATTTCACCAACACCAGCAGTCTCCACAGACACTGGGTATATAGAACTACGCCACAATACGGAGAGGTCTACACTGTTAGATTCATCTCCTGAATGTTCTACTTATTATAGTTAAGTTGACAACTAAACATGTAGGGCAAGTACTATAGCAGAAATAAATATATAGGGGTAGGTAGGTGTTTTTTTGTGGTCATTCCAACCAGAATTTTTTCTTACCTGGAGTATTTTAATTATAAGTGTTTTCCTGCCCTCTCTCCATATATTCATAACTAGAATAGTATTATGACTACATTTATGCTTTTATTAAAATAGAAAGAACTATAACCATTTCTTTTAAATGAATGGGGAATAAACTCAAACATTCATTGAAGAAAAATATATTATGACAACGTTTTACTTGATTTACACTAAAAACAAATAATCTCCTATTCATGTACTATCATATTATTTTTTTTTTCACATGTCCCCTGTTTACAGCCAAAGGGAAGTTTTACAATGATCTTTTCCGACTGGTTTTTGGCCTATGCTGGACTTTGAATTGTGAATATGGGCCTTGTCAGGCAAAAATAGGACTGAGTTTTTCTGGAGACCTTGATGCAGCTAAGTTGTGAACAAAAAGTTTTCCTTCAATCTCTCCTGACAAAATTTTGAGCACATTTTTTTTTATTACAGTAGTGTGGCTGATATTCGTCTCATCTAAGGTAAGATATTGACTTAAAAAAGCACTCAAAAAAGTCTTTTGACATTAATTAGAAAACTTGCTGATGTAGATAATTTCACTTAGGGAAGATGCAGTATTTATGTGAAGGTTTGATTAAGCATAAACTACAGTAATGGGAGTAAATTGAGGAGACTGCGTATAAAAAAAGATTATCATCATTTCACAGGCACGCAAAAGTGACCATCAAAGCACTAGTTGCACTGCTGTGGTCAAAGAGTATATAAAGTAACACGATAGCGGTCAAAGATTAATGTCTGCACTGCAGTACCTGTATGAATCGAGGACAGAATGACAGAGATTTCTACAAATGATGATTATACCTGATGTTTGGGACGAGTCCTGCAGTAATAAGGCCACAGATTCAGGACTTATTGCTTACATAAACATGACATATTATCTCGGCAGTGAGTTCTGTATAAAGGGCCAAATAAGGGGATGAATGCCAACACCAGTAAAAAGACTCTAACATGCGTTTTTCTTTCAAATAGAAATCCTGTAGGCAACGGTTCAACATTTTAACATAACAGGCAGTCAAACATCACAAAGTCTGGAAAATATCACAAAAACAAACAGATTTTTCAGTCAAAATTTTACAAGACATTCAGACGTAGAGCTATAACAACAACCTGATTTACAAGTTTCACACACTGCAAACTACAAATAACATTTTGTTTATATTATTTATTAAAGGAAAATAGTACAAAACTGATTCTGTCCATTAGAACATACATTAGATGTGATAGTACAGTAGCCTGTCTAATTACAAAGGAAAAGATTTCTTCTCTTGGTTAAGCAAGCATCTATGTGTCGAAAGTTCCTTCCTCTGTCATACAAAACTTGAACAAACAATCAACAAAGAGGTTATGTGTGTAATTTGAAAAGAAAACAACTTCAAAAACTATTCAATGTCATGCAAAAGTGATCTTATATGATCCAAGACCACTAATAATTATAAGGCTGATCCCACCTATCATAAACAAAAATGTCATTCTCCCAAATCTCACAGTACATGTTAATACATGCATTTCGAACTTGTATTTAAGATTGTAAATATATTACAGTACAAAGCAGTTATAATAAGCTCTATCCTATTATGACCACATTTAGCCATTAAATATAGCTCATAAATGATCATGGTAATGCTCCCTTCATATGGCTTATATGTACTTCATAAACTGTATACTTTTTCTTACGTATATTTCTCTTCTTTGGACCTTAATCTACCTTTCCAACAAGTAGACCCAATAGAATAATCTATTTGAACTGATTGCATTTCAACTGAACACATGCTGTAATTACCGATTATCTTTCAGCTATAATCAGAAACAATATTTGCCAATGGACATCCCATGATTTATAATCACACGTAAAATTTTAAACAAGAAAAAAGAGTTTCCAAATCTCTTCAATGGTGCTTGTTTCTAACCAGGCCGTTGTCTAGAATACTGTAATACTGAAGAGTTATACCCACTACGTATATATATTTAGCTATATACCCTGTGTTCTACTCTCCCACACCCTGCTGCTAATATTACAAAAACTGTACTCAAGATTACAAACAAATATACCACCAAACACACATATTTAACAAAGCTTTGATCCTGCACTCAGTGTCCCCAGGGAACATCTTCCCTGTAATGTCCTCTTTAATCCCGATACATCCCACAGCCAACCTGCTGTTCTCCCTATATGGCTGTTCCACAAATACACCATCCTACAGCTAGTTAAATGCTGCATTCCTATTGCTGCTTTACCAATCACACAACTTCCCATTGCAGTATGCTCATGTCCCGTCCTCCCGTGGAGATCAGACGCGAGTCATCATGCAGGAAGTTGACACTGGTCACATGACTACTATGCCCTCCATACACATTGCCTTTAGTCTGAAAAACAAACAAAAAGCTGTGAAGAAACTTTGAGCATAAATTCTGATCCTAATCATCTCCGAATTTAACTGAATGTTGGTGAAAATCCTACGTTTAGTATCAGACGAGATATAATTTGAAGGTTTTGCACTCTGCGACCCCTATTGGCTCCTACCCTCAGCCACATGAATTTAATATAGAATCTGATCCTCACAAGTTGATGATTACTACCAAGTTTCATTAAAATCTGACACATGTTTTTTAGGAAAAGTTGAAAAACGATTGTTTATGGATGACTGAGTTGGTCATATGTCCTACGACATACCTTGGGTTGACATGCTGGGTAACTGTACAGGTTTACTTTGCCAAAGTCATCAGCACTGGCCACCAGGTGGAGCTTACTGGAGCGGCAACAGTTGTTTACATCTGTGCCGTCAGCGTCATCTGGCCAAATGCCTAAATCACAAAATATTTACAGAAGTGTATACAAGGGTTTATTATACACAACAATGTTCAACTACATTATATTATACATATACAATCATGATCTATTCAATGCTCGCTTGAAGATTCTCTTCCTCAGGTTTGCATTATAAAATTAAGTTCTCCAACTTGCAATAAATATTTCGAAATTTAACAGTTTATTTCCTTGATTTCTGTGTTTAAAAAAGTTTCTCAACTCATTAACTCAGCTTAATTTAAAAGTACCACTCAGGTGTGATGACCATTATACATACCGGCAGTGTTGAAGCTAAGGGTACAGTTCTGTGTAGCCCAGGCCACATCCCTGAGGGAGGAGGCAGAGGTCACTTGTTTACAGCTTGGAATAGCCCCTGGAAAGTACAACAGAAACTCATGAGACAGGTATCATTAGTGGTTAGTCAGGAACCTGTTTAGTGTTAGAGAGGAAACTTCTTGAAAACATCAGCTTTTAGTAACTATGCTCTTAAACTTAATATAAAGTTCTGCCAATTATCATCAATACAGACATCCAAGGATGCTAGCCTCAACCTTTAATTTTTGTTTGGCTATGAGATTGACGTACAAACTTACAGAAATTATCAAATCATGATTTTGACCCACTTACAGAAAAGGACCTCATAGTCGCCGGAGTTGCTGACCAGGTTCTGAGCATCAGCTGACCAGTCTATGTGTGTAATAAAACTACTGTGTCCCTGAAACACAACACAATGTAATATAAATTATACTGTGTTTAGGGAATATAAACATAACAACTACAAGTTTGTTGAATTACGGAAAATCCATATTTTTCCTTCTACAAACCTTTTAAACAAACACATTTGGAGTTAAAATTGGCAGCAAATACTTTACTGGTCAACAAGTTTTCATTAAACCGATAAAAAAGATAATAAAAGCCTTTAATACATACTGAGCACCTGCCGATTCTGTTGTAGCGTCCATCATCCATAACTTCATATACATACACATAGTTGTCTCGAGAGCCAAGTGCCAGATACTTTCCATCTATTGAGAAACATACCAACATCGATACATAATCGGGTATATAAAGACAAAGATATCAACATAAGATCAGGTATCAAACGATGTCAATAAAGGTATGTAATCAGGTTCATAAATGTAACAACCACTTGTCAGTATGGGTGTAAAACTACAGTACACATGATAAAGTGTTATGGTCAAAGGGACACAACCCATTACAGATAAATGTTTGCTGGAATCTCCGAAGTACATGAGTAAGGGCCTGTTCGTTTATTTGGAACAACCGGTTCGTCTGTTTGCAAAATGTAACATTTTTGGGTATAAATCCTGGAGGACCTGAAAAAGTTGATGAAGGCCGTGCAAGGCTTTGTCAAGGCTCGCCTGAAAGCACCATCAGATTACTAAGTCAGACCTTATTTCATAAACAAACAACTCTGGTCTAACCAGTGCAACCTTGCATCGCGATAAACGAAAGCAGCCCATGTTTTCCTGGGGTTAACCATTTCACTACTGTAGACCATAATGGATACATCCATAACAATGCAAGGTAGAGTCATCTTAAGTTTCATAGGGGTGAAAGGGTTAACAGGAACCTTTTATTTGTGTCTTGCGAATCCTATCTGCATTACTTACCTGGTGAGAAAAGCAGGCATTCTATCTGTTCATTTCCATCTGTGTGGTTGGTGACAATCTCGTGTGTGGGTAGGTCAAGGACATACCAGCGTCCAGTCTCTGTACCAATGGCCGCCAGGTTACCATTGGGGTGGATACAGCAAGAGTGAGCGGCGTCCTATCAGTGAAATTAGCTAGAGTTAGTTTAACTCATCTTTATGTACATAGACAAATCATAAGACATTCCAGTATATTCATAATTAAAGAAAGTTGACCAAAAGGATGATACCACATAACTCCAATTCTAATATGCATTAAAAGCAGAACTTTCAGTTTAATACATCTTTATCTTTCAGTTTTCCAACAAGGATTATCTAAGAACAATGAACAAGAATGAGTGCGATACATACTGCGACTTCCTTTGCCCACACGACAGATCGTGTCAGACTGTCCCACAGGCGAACCTGTTTGTCTGAGCCACAGGTGAGGAACTGATTCTGGCTAGGGTGGGCAGCCAAGCCCCACAGCTCATCCATGTGGCCCTGTCAGGATATATACACAAACAATATTAGCATAGCTCAAATAATATTATCACAGCTCATAATATGTGGCCCTGTCTGGGCACACACATAACATTATCAGCAGGGCTAATCCATGTGGCCCTGTGAGAGTACATACTGAAATACCATTACCAATGTTAAACAAGGTTTCATTTAAGGTCCATGTTACCATGGTGACCTACCTGTACCACAGGATCAAGTTTCAGATCGATGGTTCCTTGAAGGATACAGTTCCTCGTAGTTCCCACCAACAACATGCCACCTTTGCCTTGACTCAGCATCCTTACTCCACCAAATGCTTCTGGGACCTGGAAAGGAAAATAAATTTTATCAAATGCTAATAATATAAGGAAGCAGAATGATAACAATCCAAAAATTTGAGAAATGTGTATCCTGCCATCACTGATTTGTATCAATTATTATTATAAGGACACCGATTCCTATTACAAGGAACTTCCTTGACCTCATCATTGACCCCTACCTCATTTTCAACTCCTGTTGGTTTGTAGTTGCTATCCCACTGAATAAGCTTGCGGTCCTTTCCACCTCCAGACACCAAACATCCATTTTTCATCACACACAACGAGAAGACACCCCCCTCGTGACTGCCGGTCACTGCCTGTGTGATTCTGTTGGTACCTGTGTAACATAAAGGCTGTATTGTTGTGCTGATATAACTTGACATAGAGGATAGGCAATTATGATGATAACCAGATAATCTGTGTAACATTATATTAAGCTTTTTCCTACTTTTTGTTTTCATTGTGTCCAATGAAATTGTGTCAGATGTCCCATTCTCTGAATAATGTACATTAACTATGTTTTTTCCCCACTACAATATGTTTAACAAAGACCAGTCGCTTTGTATAACAAAATGTTGAGGTGATAAAGATTTGTACATACATTGTTCTGACTTCTGGACTCACCTTTGCCCCATGTTCTGACTTCTGGACTCACCTTTGCCCCATATAAAGATGTTTCCATTGGAGTCGCCGGAGATCACTTCACCACTATCAGCAAACGCCAGGCACAACACGTACTTAGGTTTCTCATGTTTCTGTAACGAGTAAAACAAAACGTATATGATAATCACAACAGAACTGTTGAAGAGGCTTCAAGTATAATCATACATATTAACAAATAACTTTGACTGTAGGGATTCCAGTTCTGATATAGTAATTTAAATTACTACTATTGTATGTGTATCATGCAATGAGGTACTTACATCGAAGATGCCCTGTTTCCTTGCCAATGTGCCCCCTTCCATGGTCCAGAAATTGATTTGTCCCTTGCCACAGGAAATGATTGAGTTCTTCTCTGAGGGATGGAACTCTACTGCCAAGACAGGCTCAGTGGAGCTCTGAAACAGACAAGGTCGTACAAGGTCATAGTGAACGGTCTGATAATTGTCATGTAATCACTATGGTAACATGACCAGTCATGCAACATTATGTAGGAAGATATCAACACACATGCATCCTCAGGGAAAAGTAAATACAATTTTTAATACATGAAGTAAATCTTGCTGTGGATATTCTTTAGAGTAGATTAGTTTTTATTATTTTGCTGATTACATGTACTCCTTCCTATGAATTGGTATTTGAATGCAGCCTCTCTAGCCCTGGACATAAATTGAATCTTACTTATTATGCTTCCTTATCATTTAACACGAGCATTTTGTTCAAAACATGTGATAAAACTACTGATATCTGCACTACCATCACAAATTTGAAAATTAATATTACCAACCTTGGTTTCTGTGATACGACGAGGTGAGTCACGGCTTATGTCCCAAACAGATATCACATGCTCATTGGCATCGTCCACAGCAACTAGTTGATGGCCACCATCCTGCATTACAAACCAAAATTTTAATGAACTTAACCATCGAACATTTTAATGAAAATCAACAGGACAATTGTGACCGTCACAGGATGATATAATAGACATGCATTCAGTATTTGGATGGGAGCGTTGGAATGTGACTTTCTGTCTTTAGGATGGGAGTGTGGAATGTGACTCCCTGTTTTTAGGATGAGAGTGTGGAATGTGACTTTCTGTCTTTAGGATGGTAGTGTGGAATGTGACTTTCTGTCTTTAGGATGGGAGTGTGGAATATGACTTCCTGTTTTTAGGATGGGAGTGTGGAATGTAAATTCCTGTCTTTAGGATAGGAGTGTGGAATATGACTTATTGTCTTAAGGATAGAATTGTCCAATGTGACTTCTTGTATTCTGGATGGATCAAGTGTGGAATGTGAATTCCTGTCTTTAGGATGGCACTGTGGAATATGACTTCCTGTTTTTAGGATGGGAGTGTGGAATGTGACTTCCTGTCTTTAGGATAGGAGTGTGGAATGTGACTTATTGTCTTAAGGATATAATTGTCCAATGTGACTTCTTGTATTCTGGATGGATCAAGTGTGGAATGTGAATTCCTGTCTTAAGAATGGGAGTGTGGAATGTGAAATCCTGTTCTTAGAATGGGAGTGTGGAATGTGACTTTCTATCTTTGCAACCTGATTCTCAATTATCAGGATGAGATAATTGAAAGTAAGAATGGGACTGTAAACATTCATTTATACTTCTAATGACTGGAAAATGGAATCCTGTTAGTTTGGTAATGTGAAATGTAACTTATCTTGTATGTGGTTGGTTGGATGTGACTTACTAGTTTGGAGAAGGAGATGCAGCAGACAGCACGGTCAAACTCCCCCACCCCTACCACATGGATGGTGTTGAGGCTGACTGAGTCCCAGACACGGATGTGGGGCTGAAACAGATGACGGCAAAATGACCACATTTCTACACATATGCTTTAAAGATCTTTAATAAATGGCTGAACACCTGTTTAAGAGCACAATACACTGAATTTTCTTACCATAGCAGTAATAATAGTATGCATGCACCGGTTCTCCAAAGACTTATGCATTTTTAAAATATGAATGAAGATTACTATGCAAAACATGTCATGTTAAAAGATAAAAATAGAAATGAGAATATATGTACATGAAAACATTCTAAAAGGAGGTTACCTTGCTATATGTTAGATAGATTATGTATATATACTAATGTATACCTGTTATTTTAAATTAATTGCTAGAAAAAGCTAAAAAGGTCATTGACCACTTTCCTTGAGCTGAGACACAGGCAGTTGTAACAAGTATTGGACAACATCCTATTGTTTTGGCAGGGGACGAGAGATGACTGATAATTTATAACTTAATATTACTACAAACACTCCAACAGTTTAAAGGGACAACATCCCCTCACACTTTCCCTTCCACACCCTTAGGTTGCTTCTTATAGTTTATTAAATTTGTCAGATTTTCTGTATTAATAGCTTACAACAGGCATACCAGAATTTGGGCAACCCCCGTTCTGCAAATCAGATTTGAAGAATAGCACTCAAATCAGCCACTCGAACTTGGCAAGAGCTACGCAAATTAGTGCAACCACTGATGTGTTATTATTGTCTGCTAGTTTTGAAAACAAAAAAGGTTTTCTGAATTTGTAAGGATAGTTGCTGGTACCATAGGATCTTTTTTTGGGAATAAAACCCAAAATTTAAATGTCACTTGATTGCGTTTTATCATATTATTTTTTAAGGCTGACCATGAAGCCAAAGTTTTAAGAACCATGTCCAATTATCACTTTCTGTTTGCAGCAAACAGAAAAAGAAAATAATATATCATGCATTTAAAATAATATTGATAAATGAAATCAAGAATAAACATAGTATATCATGGTGCTTTTATAACTAATACTGTTATACACGTATATAGAGAGATATATAATGATTGATGCTAGAATTTCCCCAGAATCATGAAAATTTACCTGACACATGTACTGCAAAAGTGGCTGTAGAATAGTGAAGGCCATTCATGTTTTGAGTGGAAATAAAATGCATTATAGCTCCATATACAGGAGTACATATGGTTCGGGGGCATGTGCCCAATTATAGACTATTCAGTCTTTTCGTATTGCAGAGTTATCTTCTCTTGTGAGCAGGTATTGATTGTTACGACATTTGTTTATGAGAATAACGTCATCAATTTTTGAGAAAACGACGTAATTTTCTCACACAAACCAATGACTTAACAATCAATACCTGCTCATAAGAGAAGATAACTCTGCGATACGCAAAGACCGAATAGTGCTTGAAAAGAAACATTTGCTCAGATTCCTTTTATAGTTGCGAAACATTTGCTCAGATTCCTTTTATAGTTGCTTTGACCTTAATTTGTCACCCAGTAATCCCAAAATCAGTAGAGGTATTCCCCTTTCAAAGGGGTAATACCTATCTAAGTTCAGTTAGTATGGATGTTCCTTTTCCCAAGGGGAATCAGAAATTCAAGATTGTTTTAGATATGATGTATCACCCAGAAGACAAGTTTTCAGAAAGCAGGACTTTCCTAAAACTGCAGTCTCTTTACAGTCACTCTGACCTTCACCTTTGACTTAGTGACCACAAAAACAATAGGTTTTCCCCGTCTTAGGGGCATCATCCATCTAAATTTGGCATTTTTGTCCTATAGCTTCTTGAAACTAGCATTTTTGCCAAAAAAAATACCTTGACCTTGCCCTAAGTAACCTCAAACTCAATAAGGATCTTCCTCTTTCCAAGGGGCATTGTGGCTACCAATTTGTTTGAGATCTGATGTATCATTCAAGAAATATCATCAATTTTCCCTAGAATTTAAGTCTTTTTATAACCAGTTGATTTGACCTTTAATTGACCCTATCAACTATCAGGAAATACTTTCTAGATAAGTTCCAGTCTATGTACACCCTTGGTGCATCATTTACCCAAACACCGGTTTTTCAGATCATGTGTACATTCTGTTAGCCAATCCGAGTCCTTGTTACACACACTCTTTGGAATTATAAATATGTACAACATCTGGAAGTCCCCATCAGTTTCACAAAATACCACAATTTCACTCATTGTAAATTTTGCACCACCACAAATCACTTACCCAGTGCTCACGATCCTCAACAGGTATTTCTGTCTTTTTACCAAACTTCTTCAAACATGCAGGAAAACAGTACAAAGAAGGATAAGCAAAATCAAAATCACCATCAAGTGAAAAAGTCAATAAAATTTAAAATGGAAACGGACTAATTCAGATTCCTCAGAATTGATGTAAAATAACAAATTATGCTGTGATCATGCTCTAATATAAGCTAAATGAGGAAACCATTAAAGCTGGACCTCAGTGATAGGTGAAATCGTGCAACGATAAATACACAATGGTCAGTCTAAATTTATCCATATATGTACCACTTATACAGCATGCAAATATAGGTTGTTTACATATCAGAGAAAACAAGGATTCTTATCACTTAAAACTATTTATACTATAGATCTTTTTTATGACACCCTTTATGTGTATTGAAATTAATAATCTCTGTATACAGTTACTGAGGACTGTAGAACAGTTGGGTAGATTGTCACGCTCACTGGATGGAAATTGTTGTATGTTAATCCTCAATAAATTTACACGATGTATTGTTGAGTTGTAATACACTCTATATATAGATACTGTGCTGTGAAGTATTGAGGTCGATTCCCTTCATTTACAGATAAATGTACTGATGTTACAGTACTTTAAGTTAATATCCTCTACATATAAAGATGGTAAAGAAGTATTGGGTCGAGTAGTAGAGTAGTGAGATAGATTATTGCCCTCCGTCTATACTGGTGTATGATGTAGTTGCATGATTATACAGATACTGTGGAATGTAGAGCTGGATACTCACTATGTATAGAAAATGTTGTATGATGAGGTGCATTATACCGTCCATATAAATCGAGATATACCATCCTCCCTATACAGATATTGTGGAATGTAGAGCTGGATACTCACTATGTATAGACAATGTTGTATGATGAGGTGCATTATACCTTCATTATAAATCGAGATATCCCATCCTCCCTATACAGATATTGTGGAATGTTGAGCTGGATACTCAATATATATAGAAAATGTTGTATGATGAGGTGCATTATACCTTCATTATAAATCAAGATATTCTATCCTCCCTACACAGATATTGTGGAATGTTGAGCTGGATACTCACTATGTATAGAAAATGTCGTATGATGAGGTGCATTATACCTTCCATATAAATCGAGATATACCATCCTCCCTATACAGATATTGTGGAATGTTGAATTGGATACACTCAATATATATACACAGATGCATGTAATGTTGATTGTTGAGGTGGATTCTGTCCATAAAACTGGGGGAGTGGAGGATTATCCAACTAAACACTCACAACATAAATCAATATCAAAATGTACATTATACATCTATATATGATAACAGGTAAATAATTTAGAATGCTTAGACAAATAATCTTGCTGAATTGTTCAGAAGCATTTGTATATTTTTTCAATTACTTGCTTATCTATAGCAATAAAATTCACCGAAATCTCCCGAGATGACAACATCAAAATGAAAATTGCAGTTTTGGAATAAAGCACAATATATAAAGCCTCCACAATATTTAAACAAAAAGAATATGTGACCAGACTGCAGAGCAGCGTACCTTGCCTTCCACGCGGCTGTGGCCCGCCACCTGTCCCGACGCTACCTTGATCTTGTCAGGGTGAATCGCCAAGCTTCAAACAAAAATTCAAACCACTTCCAATCTCAATAGAAAAAAGATATTGCCACATTGTCTTCTTTCATTTTTAAAGGTGAACATTTTCTTACTTTGACCAATGATAATTTGTATATTGTGCGACATACTTAATGCCATCTGCATCATATGCATGGGTTAACATTGAGATTGACCACCAGATCAAATGATACTGGCCTTTTGTAATTTATTTTTTTAACTGTTTTCTTGATTTCTTTGTGATGTCAAAATGACTAAAATAAGAAATTCAAGTAATTGTATTTTATCCTAATTTTGATGTGAATACATATATTAAGAAAACCAATAGTTTTGAGGGCTTGTTCCATGCAAAATTAATGGGGTGTCAATTTGAAAAGGATATGGTGGTTATATGGGACGCCCTGTTCTCCTACCATTTGACATCGTCTGTGTGACCGACGTAGTGTCTTTGCGTGTTTTCCTCGATGTTGTGAAGGACGACAACTGCTGCCGAGAAATACACCATCTCTCCTGTTGGCAGGTAGTACAGGTTGGATCGGCAGTCACGCCCACGGTAACCATAGCTATGATCGTCAAGGAATCACAAACAAAATACAACCTTAAAAGGTACTACAGTCCATCAGACCAATGTAAAGATATTTCATTATATAGTGAGTTGTAGAATTAAAATAAAGTGTAACTGGTAATAAGTGTTTGGACAAATAAATATGACTGAGTTATTACTGATAGTAACATTCAATATGGTATATTTCTGTATACAATTGTGAAAGATAGTCTAAATCATGGCATTAAACAACAAAATATACAGACAACATGGGACTTTTTAGTTGTAGATACATTTATTTTAGAATTATGTTGTTTTGATCCACAATACAAATCAATTGTCGACTATTTGCGGGGTTTTCATCATTGTTAGTGACAAGTTCAATTGTGTTTTATGAACATAATGCTAAAGTCAAGGATACACCCACTCCAGGCGGAGTTTTTCATCAGGAGTGTCACTGATCTTGGAGATGTCATACTCTGTGATGGAACTTGGGCAGTACAGGTTTACTGGGCGACCACGCAGGTAGATCTTCAGGTAACCCTCATCTGTAACGATATAGTGTAACACAACAAATGAAATCCTCTATTGTGAAACTGGGGTTACAATCATTTTCCAGATGAGTTTGTGATTCCGTCTTAGACACAAGGACAGAATATTTTTCATTGTTACCGATAAATAATATGCATAACCACTCAGAGATAGCCAATTTCAGATTTGCAAATGTTAATCAGTTGTTTTGCTGTTACAAATTGGGTATATTGTTGATGTAAAGTGCAGCCAATATTAAAACAGATTATTTGTGTCAGTAAAATCACCAATAGACATCTGTAAGTCTTTAACTATAGGGGGTTACCATATTCTAATTTTGTTATTATCTGACATCTTAATTTTCTACAAATCACCAAATTTAAGCCTGTTTAACATCTTGTCAGTCTGTTGTAAAAACTATTTTTATCAACCAATTTAATTCCTTGTAACACACAAAAAAATATATCTAATTATACAAGGGGTATCTTCTGCAGATAAAGATTTACAAAGGAATGTAAACTTTCTCAATGCACAACAACCATATGAAGGTTGTTCATAACCATATATCTTTGTGTTTAATTATCAAATTTCCACTGCCATTACCAGGATGGGTATCGGGCTATGAACCTTAAAAGAAGAATTTCGTTGAGACTTATCAGTACAGGACCATTGTGAAGTGCTTTATGGGATATATTTTCTTGTATAGCTCATTAATTTTTTCTTTATGTTATGTTAGAGTAAAATTGAAATCGAAAACCAAAAAACTGCACTTGGAAGTCTCTCAAAAATAATCTATGAAAATTATTGAATTTGAGAAATCAACTTGAAGAGTTCTTCTATACTTGAGAGTAAAGGTTAAGCTTGATAAAAAAATGTTGAAACAATGATATCTAAATGACACAGAGGATAAAACAACAACAAATTTACAACAGACTTTGAGCCCTAAAATGCCCCTAGCATCTAAGATCAGTTTAGAAATGTTTTCAGCATATAGTTTTTCATAATCTTCATGGAAGTATTTTGACCATTATTTTTCCACATCCAGCAAGAGTACTTACTACAGCAACAAAACAGTATATGCCCATTGCATGCCATGCAGCATCCGTTTAGATTACATAACAAAATGTTGTACTTAAAACCTATCTGATGCAAAATGTATCAAATATTGAAAAAGAATTGTACTACATAGATGAAATATTTCTAGGTTGTGTTGAAAAAGGAAAACATACTCCATTTTATCTCACAAGCCAAAGGAATAAATCTGGCTTTACCATTTCTAAACTGTAGGCAAAGGGATGGACTCCTATCGATCCCTTTGCCCATATTACAAATTATCATTCAAAAACATTAAAAGAACAAGACCGATAACTATATATAAAGCGGGAAGCAAGACACAATTCAAGTATGCAATACTCTATCTTCCAAAGACAGATATGTATTACAAGTTTGGTGAAGTTAAGTGAAATCGAAGGAGGTTAGAACCAGAATATATTTGGTATCAAAATGAACAAAGGGCCATAACTCTGTTCACACAAGACCTGACTTTAGTATGTGACACTCCTTCTTCCTAAGCTATATAAATATAGCAAGTTTTGGTAATCATCAGTTAATAGCAAGAATGTTTTGTTCTGGACAAACTTTTGTTTCAAAAATGAACAAAGGGTCATAGCTCTGCTAAAAAAACCTTAAAAATACTGAAAAAAAAGAAGATTGATCAAATCAAGTTTCAACAAGATTATTCTATCAGTAAAGGCATAAGAGACAAGGAAAAGATATTGGACAAACAATGGTGTAAAGCACAGGCTATACCATAATGCAACTTGTTGTTGACTGGCGTATAGAAACTGATAGTGTATTTTAATTTCGTTTGTAAGTACCGTCACCTAAACACTTACCAATTACTGAGTACGACATGGATGAAAATAAAGGGTACACATATGAACACTGCCGTGTACACTAGGCAACAGATAAAGGTTTTTGTCTTTTGATATGTGTAAGCTATTCAGTTTTTATTTGATAGAATGGCACATTATTTTTTACGCAAATAATGAATCAACACATTCAATTTGAGGATACAAAAACCTGACATGTGCTTTCTTGATTTCTGTTATTATAAATGTTTTCTGAAAACTGTAGTATTCTTTTGAAAACGAGAATGACATAGGTCTCAGTGGTAATGCTGGCTCACTGGCCATAGAAGATTCCAATGATCAATTTTGAAAGATTTGAGATAAATTCTGAAATTGGTTTTCGAACAGTTCAGCTATGGGTTTGGTGGTTTGCTATTGCAATTGGGAAGGTTTGGTCTGTGGTCTTTGTAAAATCAGGGTCTGTAGTAAACTGAAAGTATCGAGTCAAAATTTTCAATTTGCGATAGAGTGACTTACCAGAGTTCCATAGTGGATCTTTTGCACTGAAACACAAAATGCAAACAAGATAATTAATTCTGAACGGTTTACCTCAAACTCAGTAATAGTTTAATAGGATTACATATAAGCAGATGCATTCTCTGCCATCACAGGAACTGTGTCACTTTACAAACTAATATGTATGATACACATGCATTACATTTCAAACACATACAGATGAGATAGTGATGGCATGCTGCCATATCAGATACCTTCAGTGAACATGATATATAGTACTGTGTTGCCAATTTGTCAGTATCATTTATTTGCATACGAGTGATCCTCACGATTGTTCAGGCTCCCGTTCAATATCATCAAAATGTGAAGGCAAGCCACATGATATACTTTGTACTAGTAAACTTGACTGGCTTTGTATGCGTAGCAGGAGACTAATATGTTCCTTATTAAATCCATATTCCTCATTACATTCATATCTTTATTCAAAAGAATCTATTTTGACACAAAAAGAGGAATTTTGACATTTATTCATTGTGCACAAAAACTATTAAATCACAGCAAGTCTGAAGTTAAAAATGAAACTTATTAAAAGAATGTCCACAAAACCTGGATTAGGATACTCCAAATCTGTCAAACTGGGATTCAGTGAAAGTCTTACCGTGTTTGAAAAGAAGATAACCTCCAAAAACTGACAATGAAAGAGAAATTCCCAAAAATATTACTTGAAGAAAAGAGAAAATGGAAAACAGGATTAAAGAAACCTAACTCAATAGAAATCAAAAACTAAAGTTTGTACAAAACACCGTTTTCCAAACTAACCAAACCTAGGAAATATTTAAGAGATACCATTTTCCAAACTACTAAAAAGAAAATAAAAACATTAGAAACAGAATTTAGCATTGCTACACAATGTCTTTACTCAACAAAGTGACACAACTGAAGGGAGTAAAACCTACAAGTGCACGTTTAAAGGAAATCTGATGGAAATTTTGAGACTGGTTGTTCAGATAAGATCGTAAGGATTCAAGTACACAAACAGTGATTACTCTGTAATTGATCAATATGTTTGAAACAACTTTTTATAATGATAGCAAACCCTATCAGATTGACTGTAACTAACATACCTAGTTTGTAACAATGCAAGCTAGCCTACAAAGTGTACTGCTGTAATTACTCAGTAACTGATCGGGAGATCAATAATCCTGGTACATACTAACATAACTATAAAAACCTCGCAAGTTCTACGGCTATCTGATGGAAACGGAGAGACAAGTTGTCCAGATATGCTTTTATATAAGTTTATAAAGGGCAATAACTCATTAATTCATTCACCCCTGAAATTTCATAACAAACTATTCCAAACCTTGAACTGGAGGAGTTCAAATGTGTCTTCAAGGGTGAATGAGTTAAACAGTTATGGGCTCAATATGTTTTACCCAAAGACTTAAACCTATTTTTAACAGAATCAGATGGAAACTGTAGAAGTATTCCAGGCAAAATATTAATTGATGATCATGACTATATAATGTCCTGCTAAAATGGGCATATAAGATTACTGATAGGTATGACACCAGTCAGGAACATTTCTATAATGTATATGGGATGTTGACAGCCCACAGGTACTAGCCTCGTCTGTCAATACACCTGTAATATATTGACAGACAAGGCTAGTACCTGTGGACAGCCTAGTCTCACTCAACTATTTACCTCCTTTTAGTAAGTTTCCCAGAAACTGAAGTTTCTTTATGTTTATTCTGTCTATTAAAACATGGGATTCACGAGTGTCAGAGGTGGCTTTATATAATATCTGTAGTCATTTGAATAATATATAACCTGTTTTCTCATTTTTTTCTATTTACGTAGTGAAATATATTAACAATGTGTTTATGTGATAAGAATTTGAATGCACACTACCATTGTCAAACACTGAATAAATATGTTCTTAAGCATTCATGCATCTGACCAATTTCCTAGCATCTAGTCAGAATGAGCAGACAACATGATATGTATATTTAGTAAAAATGAAAAGTAATTGTAAATTGTACTACAGTAATAAGAAGAAAATAACAAACTTCCTGGTTTGTTTTCTAAATGTAGAAAGTAGGTATAATCTTGAATATATGACAATCTGCTAAAAGAAGAATATATAATTGGGGGAAAATATAATATTTCAAGCAAAAACTATATATGCTAACTATGTATATAAATGTCTATTTTTGGCATGGGTATATAGGTCAAAGTCAGGTTTATATAGGACAAGGTCAGCATTTGTCTCCTGTTGAGTGGGGCAGCTGCAGATTCTGTCTATAGTGCACTAATGCAATGTATTGAAAATTACAAATGTATCAATCTAATCAAGGTTTAGAACTTAAATGGCTGGATAGACAGGAATAAAGTGGTCAAGAGACATTTTGAAAACTCAAAATAGCAAGTTCAATTTCAAAAGTAAAAGCAAAAGGGTCTAATCAAAGGAAAACAATACCATGTTTTAATGATATTGATAAAATATTCAAATTCAAACAAGGATATCTGCACAGGGAAAAATATTCAAATGCATAAATGGATTTAATATCCGCGCTAGCCAGCCATTGAAGGTCTGCCACCGCCTAACAAGGGTGGCATGCTACCAGATTAGGAGCTAGACTCCCACAGCACACAAACAGCAAGAAGGCAATGGTCATGTTAGCAGTAAAGCCGAAAGATTAGCAGTATCAACTGTACTCCAGAGAGAGACAAGGTCACATGTTTTACCCTCGATGGTTTGACCGCAACAGCAAGCTGCTCTGGGAAACGCTACGTCTAAAACAGCAAAATAAGTCATGTTCATCTAACACTGCACTCCAAGGGCAGATAATCATGTAAAAAATTGGCAAGAGTTTAAGGATCCCATACCACTGCAAAAAAATATATCTGTATTGGAAACTTTTATTTTTGCGACAACACTATAGTTTTGATAAATCATTTCTAAAAAAAATGATAATAACGAACAAACAAAAAACGAAATAAACAAACAAAAACCAACAGTGTTTTTAGTGCAAAAATGCCATGGAGCCAGAACAGGATTCAAACACTGGGCCTCCGATCATTATACTATTGATCCAACCAAGTGAGCTACTTGGTCAACAGTAGTACATCTGAAACAAATTTAAGCATGTACTAAAAGCTACATTGGAATTCCTTTTTGTATTTTTTCTGCAGTTAGACAGGGATCCTTAAAGGGGAAAAAAAAAACCATCAAGTGACTTGTTTCACTTTCATTTCAGCAGACTGCTTACAGGAATATTATCTTCTGAAATTGAACAGTATTAATATGTCAGTCCAAAAAAATTAAAACAACACCACTTTACTTGTCAGATTTGCTGCACTATTATTTCCATGTTAATTAAAGGCAATAGGAAAGACATTCTGTTTAAGTCCCTATGGGTGAATATTGTTACCAAAGAAAACAAAGATCAAAGGAAATCATAAGGATTGAAACATTTCCCCATATCTTTAAATTGGCGTATATATGTATGTAATTAGATTTTTGGTCTGTCAATAACCACAAAATCTGTAGTAGAAATGTTTCTTGCAGGCCAGCTGAATTGATACCATATAGCTCAAAACAATATAAAAACACATAATCCAAGTCCCAATCCATAAAATATGGACTCTTTCCTCTGTGTGAGCTCAGCACACATTGCAGGTAGGTACAGGTGTGCAACATTGTATAATTAATGGCCTGTCATAAAGTTAACCTTACCGATGCTGGTATGTATATTATCTGTGTTATGCTGATTACTATATCACCTTGGAAAGCTTGAAGAGAATGTTGTTAAATGTAACAGTTTTACCTGGGAAACAAGCGGTATGCAGGTTCTTAAACTTAAATGCCATGTTTCTTTTTTCAGAGGTGAGGTTGGGATAGTGTGTTACATATTAGAGCAGTATTTTACCTAGGAAAGAAGGTTTGTGCATCGGTGCTGAATTGTAATTGCCATACTTTACCTGAGAAAGGAAAGGTGGGAATGTTACATATTACAGCAAAACTTTAATACTTTGTCTGGGAAAAACTAGGGTATAGGGTAGGTTAATCTTTTCATCACCTAGAAAAGTAACATTGTATGCCTCTTAAAGACGATTGTTCAATTCACTAAACAAGCATACACGATACATACACTAGTTTGTGCTAAATATTGAATCTAATGAAATAAGTAAAAAAATTTAAATGATGAAAATATTTTTATAAACAGTAAATTCAATGTATGAGGATTGAACAGCTCTCAGTTGGTATTCATTGACAATCGTGACAAATTCAACATGAAGTGCTGGTACCCTTTGTGGAATTTTAACTATGAATGTCAAATGATAGTAGTTTAATGTTTAAATAATTGCTGATTTCTATTTTTACCTGGAATTGTTAAACACAACTATAAAGAAGGACGGCCAAGGTGAGAGGCATGGAGAAATATCAGATAATTATCAATGTCACAGGGGCTAAGGGTTGAGGATGATATATGTGTAGCTGCTATTTTTTAGAATAGGTGTTTGGGGGGGTTGGAAAGGGGAAAATGGCAGACTGTGAATGATGGAACATTACTGTTATACATTACTGATATAGATGGGAGATATGTAACTGCTGTGGGAAAAGGAAGTGTTACTTAAAACTGCTCTGATGAAAGAGGTGGCTACTATGGGCAACAGTTGGCATGAGGAAACACCATCAATAATTAAGGGCCTCACTCTATGTAACTGCTCCTGTTGTATGCCTGGACATGCAATAGAGTAATATCACCCCCAGCATGTCACGTTACCAAGCACATCATAGTACATGAAAGGCATCATAAAGTTGCCTTTTGCAAAAATTATTCATTTCTAAATTAACGATAAAAGATAAATAAAAATTATTTGCAATGTTGCTTGCTAGATAACGTCAATATTTATTAATCTCGCAGGCCACCTGAAAGTGTTTACATGCATCCAATATTATTTTTTTCCTTTTCATTTTAACTGATGATAAATTGATACATTTCCAATGCTCCAACATACTCCTACATATATAATGATATATACCAATGGTATAGCAAGATACATGTACCAAATCAACTCAGTCCACAGTAAGGTCTAGCGACTAATAGGGTTGCAATGTGTTCGCAATGATCACTTTGCACCATTAGGTCAATTAAATATCCCAGTGATATTGTTTCAAAATAACTTAATTTGATCAGTTCATAAAAGTGTTTCATTTATTTTCAGAATATTTGCTCAGAGTTGTAAATGCCTTGGTTATGAATTTATATTATCCAAATTTACTTTAATTTTGTCAATGCTGAAGTGCATTAAAGCACATTTTTTCACATCCTAAACATTACCTATTTCAAAGTACAAAAAGTATCATCACAGATTACCATCCAAACACCTTAACTGAGAATCTATTTAACCCCTATGAAGAACTATGGAGTTGTGCGTCACTGAGTATACCATCCTATCTACAATGTACAACAATAAGTCCCTAACAGAGTAACATCCCAACACGGTCACATACATTGTATTACACATACATCGTATTGTACATACATTGTATTACACATACATTGTATTACACATATTACATTTTATTACTCATACAATGTATCACTCATTCAGTGTATTGCACATTCAAATTCAAATTTCAAATTCATTTATTGACTTTGAGCGTTACAGCTCATCAGTATGTACACAATACATATAAATACAGTGGCAGACACTGCAATAACGCAGTGGAGAATGGACAAAAAATGCATGTAGTTACATATATTTTAACATTATATCATGCTATTCCTCAACTGGGTGGCATCATATATATATTTACTTAACATAGGTAATTCTTTAACGTTCGTTGTGCTTAATAATTGAATCAGCTTGAAAACAGATGGTTTTTTCCAGTAGTACAATTTTATACGTCTTTCTCTTAAAACTTGATAAAATGGACAAATGAACAAAAAATGGTATTCGTCTTCAATATCTTCAGAGTTACAAATTCTGCATATACGTTCATTTCTTACAATGTTTCGATATCTCCCAGTTTCAATATACAGCGTATGCGCTGATAAACGTAACCTGGTTAGAGCAATTCTATTTCGCTTTGGAATATATTTACATAAATATTGTTGTAATGTTAAATTATCAACTAAATGTCTATACAAAAAACATTTCGAGGAATTCTCTAATAATTCAAACAATTCTTGCCGTGCGTTATCAAAGATTCTCTGTTTAATAATTGGCAGGGCTTCAGACGAGTTCACATTATTTTGATTCAGCCACACTTCGCCAAGACCGAGTGAAAAAAGTTTGTCTTTCACAAAAGTTACCCAATTAAAAACAGTATTTCGCTTTGGCATATACATGATTTCATCATAGGCAGTTTTAAGAACACAGTTCTTAGTATTTAAAAGCTTGAACCAGTACTTAATTAAATTATAGCGTCTGGTATGTACAATCGGTAATCTACCCAATTCAAAATAGATCATTACATTACATGTTGACTTCTTAACACATAATATCCTTTTGCAAAATTCCAGGTGAACTTTCTCAATATCTATGCCTTTGCACGAGCCCCATACCTCAGAAAGTACATTTTGTATTTCCCTAATTCTTATATAGTAACATAGAGTCCATCACCAAGTATAGTACCCATAATCTTATATAGTGACACCCTAACAACTATCTTCTATCACCTAGTCCCTCATCACATATACTACTCTAACCAATACCCAACAGTTAACAACACCTGCTGATGAGCAACAGGAAATGAAGACTTCATTAGATACAGTTATGGCAAGGATTATCTTTAAAATATATGAATGACTGACCTGCGTTTCTTCTTTCCCTTGAATCTAGTAGCCATCTTCCTGTATAACTTTTGTCAACCTAAATTCAGTTATGAGGTAATATCCTCTGTCCAGACTACACCCACACTGGTTACAGCACTGTCACAATACACACTATACACAGCATATGATGAGTCCCGTGTTATGCAGCAGCAATCTGGCCATACAATTAAACCCTCTGTAAGGAAGAGGCTTCACTGTGGGTTAGCTTCGCAGGTGGACAGGTAAATAGACAGCGTACCTATGGGAGCTTGACCCATCGCAACAGTAGATTGATCAACCATGTACACTACACAGGGCACTTATCCCTAATGACATTCTCATTAATACTGCATCTGTCTCCTTTGTTTGAAGAGATTTAATCTGTAGATTCAGTAGATATACTTGTATGAGGACACGAACCCATCAGAATTATCAACAACAGGCCCAAGGGGGCTTAATGCATACCTGCCAACTCTTTCTATTTAAGGGGAAAGACTGCTGACTTTGGACCCTAAAATTGGGCATTTTCAACCAGTGAACTATTCCTATTTCCAAACATCTGATGATTTCACCTGAAAGAACAGCTCATTTAAAAGTGTTCATTTTCCCCTAGGGTGTACATACACACATTATATTTTTGAATTCAATTCTGATCAAGTGTAATCTCCCCCATGGAAATTTCAACAAGAATGTTAATGCCCCATCAGATTTATGACGTAATGAAATAAACAGATACTCTACGAGACAATAATAATATGACACTTCCCAAAAAGTTCAAAACAGACTTTCACTATCACTTCCATGATGGCCATATTGGATTTATAATAGATTCCAAAATAACAAAGACTGGTCAGGACCATTTCCTTATCAATTCCATTAAGTTTCAGTGACATTAGTTCAGTATAATTTGTGTTTAAATTCCAAATAGATTTTCAAAATGGCTGTCACTGTAGCCATATATGATTTCAAATAGGCTTCAAAATACAACAATTGGTCAGAACCATGTACTGATCCTTTTAACAAAAGTTTGGGCAAAACTTGTTTGGTATAAAATGATGTAAAAAGATTAAATTGCACGGATGCCAGATGATACATGAAAGCATGTAGCAATAGCTTATATGATTCTCAAGTGTTTTTCTTTACTGAACTTTGATCAATCTTAACCACACATACCAAATGTGAATTAGCCTTCAACCTTAATGGTTTCTAAGTAGAGATTTATTCAGTTTGAAAACAAGCTTCGCTACTATGGAAAATTGACTGGTTAATATGGAACCTGTCTTGTTGCTATGGACATGAAGTAACATTGATTTGTGAAAGACTTGGTAATATCCATTTGAATGTAGACTTCAAAACCTAAGAAATTCTTGATCCGATTAGTGTGCTATCGTCTCTAAAATGTTGAGCTGAACCTGTTTCCTTGGATATGGTTTCATTTCCCATTTAATCATATCAGGTATCACTAGGGTCTACATCATACACAAGTCAACTACACTCCCAGTATTAACACTGATGACATTTGAAATGGAAGTGGTCCTAGTTAACAGGTACAGCAGACTGTAGCTAGTAGTCCAATGGGATCTGATAGGGCTATGCACCATGGCAATACATGTATACATTATTGTAATCAATACTAGTCCCTATAGTAGGTTCATTCTCAGAAATGAGTCTGATTAAAAATGCATGATGGGAAGGTCACGTTATCTAACAAAACTTGCCAGGAACACTATACTGAGAGAAATAACAAGATGGTGAACAGATTTACCAGTGGACCATTTAGTAATTGTACCAATAGATAAACAAGACCATGATTTTTAAAGCTGCGATCCAATAAACAAACACTTGTTGATAGACAAACAAACTGCATGTGCATGGCAACTGAAGCTCAGCAACCAAAATATTTACAATGTTTTTGTTATTCGTTTCCATGACAACTGAGCCCAAGAATATATTATTGGATAGCCACAGGCACTCAGAGAGAGACCTACAATCTGTAATGGTCAGTCACCAAGGCAACAGAACACACTGGTCAGTGTCTCAACAAGGCCAGACAAAATTTATCAGATATATTGATTTCCATCCTGTTAATTAGCTAGGTACAACCAACCATGGCCACAAAGCCATCAGAAGTCTGGATTTCCTCTCAGACAAGATCAGTGAAATACACCTACTATAAATGAATTCTGTATCAAGTGTGAATTATATTTACATATTAATATAGGAATAACCCCCAAAGGATATATGACAGCAACACTTACTCCAGCAATGCTGAAATTCACACATATTTTATTATGGGTTTTTTCAACGGAAAGAGGTCTGGTTAATAACAGTTCAGTATGTACTACAGATTAACCTGATCACAAGCCTATAGATTTGTAATACAAGTCACTGCTAAGTCCAATATGACATGAATTTATATCATATTTATAATGCTATATTTATTGTGTGGGTTGATCCATCATGGACTTTGGAAACACTGTCTGGTTGTTTAAAATCTGATTACCTTAACAACAACACAAAACATTAATCAAAACCTTAGTTTAATTTATGTCCGGATATATTGAAATTGGTAACTAAATTAAAATGTATAGTAATTAAAAACTTTTATCTGAAAACAAAAAGTACAGAAAAGTTTGTTAATTTTTGATATTTCTCAAAAATCACATTTTTAATATTTGTGTTTACAACTATTGACGCATATCAGGACTAACATCTAGGCCCTGGCGTCTTCCATATATCATACAGAAGCAAATAAACATGTCAAAAAACGGGTTTAAGTCCCTTCAAACTGATAACTGAAAAGAAACAACAGGTTACTACCTGTCTTAGATTGGAAGGTCATCTGAGAGGAAAAACAAGTGAAACAAGATGGGTTTATAACATGCATCTGGGTCACACAAAGGTCATAGATAACAATTAATTAATTCTTACATACAATACATCCACCTGTTTATACAGAATCACTCTGAAAAAAATGGACCATGTCAAAATTTAAAAGTTACAAGTTTCACAAAGTCAATCAAATTTAATTAATCTATTCATGTAAACTTCCTGAGCTATAATCTTGCATATCCTGAATCAATCTTACTGTTCTGTATAAGTGATGTATTACTACGGTACATTGGGATGAAAACAGATATACAGTGTGCCAGCAACTAAGAGATGTCAAAGCTCTCACAAATAAAGTATAAATTAGATATGTGAGAAAAATATCACTTTCACTTAGAGTTTCATTTAGCCAAAATGTATTTGAATTGATTGATAGGCGAATTGGGCCCCTTTAAAAGTGCACTATGGTCATACTGAGCCAAATTGATATAATATATATGACTTGATAGAAACTTATAATGGGGCTATTTTATTTAACTATAGAGTCAAACAGGGCCAAGTTGATAATATTTATTTGAACTTATATATAATTATAATCTGCCCCTTATTAAAGTGAAAATAAAAGGTAGATCTGGGCCAAACTGATAAATGATCAGCTGATTTTTAGGGGAGAAGCTATCTAAGAGGAAAACTATGAAGATTCCCAACTAAAGCAGCTAGTAGATGCAGCAGCCTGATCAGTTCTATATAGCTAAACTGCAGGAGAAATTCAATCGGAAACAAATATTTCAAGTCAAAGTCTGCAAAAAATAGTCACACAAAGTTAATTTCAAACACCTAAATGTAATAGTATCAGACCAACTGCCACATATCCAACATTACAACACATGCTGTGGAAGAAACCCACCTCACACTGGTCTGACCGCTGATGCTGTTCTGGTTGGACATGGAGGACCATTTCTTGCTAAGGCTGGTTGAGGACGAAGGTCGAGGTGAAGCAGCGCTGCGTGTGGCGGGCGGTGTGTTGCTTCGAGCTGGAGTCACATGAGCATTATCCAATGCGTTGAGGTGAGAAGTTCGACTTGAATGTGAACTGGAAGACTTTGTTCTTGGGCTGCCACGGAAGGCTGGCTTGGACGGCAAAATGCTGTTTTGCGCTATGGTAAATAAAAACCAAATAATAACAACATACCAATGATCTTTGTTAACACATACTGTTATTGGTGATCAAAACATATGCATTCTGAAATTCTTCGCACATCATAAACAATTTGGATAAAATCTACTTTTTCTTCAGTACCTTTCATATTCCAATTATGCTTTCTTTAAAATTCACATCAGTTACTTTCCTTTCTAAAATATAAACTTACGTAACACTATGGGAGGAAACGGGAGTGACTGGAGAAAAACCCACATAGTCGGGTAGGTAACCCGATATCTTTTCACATTCAATCATGGAATCAAACCCCAGCTACCGTGGTGAAGAGCAATTGCGCTATCCACTGTACCACCTGACTATCCTTTCTACTATCTACATACCTCTGCCTGCCTCTGCCTGGCCAAGACGGCGAATGACATCGGCGAGAGCACTCTTCAGACAGATAATCTCATCCTCCTGCTGCTGTACCTTCTTCTCCAGGTAGGATACACGCTCACAGAGCTCTTCATGGTCCTGACTCAGCAGACCATCTACAACACACCAGTGTTTGATTAACTCACACAAGATATCTGTACCTCAAGAACTTTACTTACCTCAGGTAATTGGTCTGAACATGGACAGAAGGCGTCAAGGCGGGGAAACAAAAAAAAATTAAAAGATATATCACTATTCTATAAGTATGGTCCACTTTGGCCTGTTTCGCCATGAACATGACCATCTTTAAAATCAAAAAATCATATTTTCTTTCTCTGGCAAAAGATACAAGCATAACCTAATGTCTGCAACCAGAAAGATATCTTGCATGATGTTTACTTAAACTGGTTGTCAAAGTTGCTACTTTAAAATATATACAATAAACTATGTGGGTTTTCCTGACTTTAGATGGGTTATAACAGCGCCTACTGGTACAAACTTTTAAGCTTTCTCTTACTCATTCATCATGAAAATAAAACTTATTACATTCTATTCTCAAAAGTGGTGCTGACATGTGCTATAACTGAAAACTTTGCATTCCGTCATGAACTAATTCTAAAATGTTGTTAATTCTATCAACAGAAACCTAACCTCAAATCCTAAAACAGATTTACCTTCGGCTAGTCAACAAATATTGTCCGAAAACCACACAGAAATAATTTCCGACTTATTCAGTGAATTGTAATATACCTGTTCTGCACCTTACATGGCATGTCAATAGTTGATGCAATGGTATTTGTCATTGTGCTCATACCAAAATTGGTAAACATACCATATTGAATGCATTTGCATGTCTGTACTATTTTTAGACAAGGAATCACCGCATGCATGTGTAAATGTGATGACTGAAATAGTGAACCAAGCAGTTGATGAGATCTCTTTAATCCTCATGGCACTCTTTCTAGTCATGATACACACATTTATGAAGTTTTATCAAACAACATCTAATGACAATGATATGAACAATGACCCTTCGCTTGGTTTTGACTGTGAGCATAATGTAGCATTGAGCATAAATGTAGTACAAAAGTTGCAGTCTGGGATATTATTACAGTAATTTGACCTTTAAACCCTTATTGTGACCTTGACTTTGGTAGAACATACTTGTTTGTGCTACGGGACACATCATTTTAATCACAAAACACATTCCTTTGAAATTTCCAAAAAAAGCATTTAATGAAACAGAAATTACAGTATGAATAAGATGGAAAGACCAATTGTAGCTAAATTAACCCCCTATATCATGTTGATTTACAGTTCCATGAATTATTACATATTCTAATTTGCAGGGAATAATGATAAAATAGCTTGATAAATGAACTATTAACATACCAAGAGATGTTTTAGTCTGGTGTTATGCAGAATACATCAATTAACAGTATATTATGCAAGTTGCCCATGCAGATGTGGGTATTGATTCACCATATGATACTTGGGAGTTGGAGGTGCTCCCTATGTTTGGTGTGTCCATGCTGGCTAGGACTGCCCATGTCAGCATGCCATCAAATATGTACCACATAAAACGACCTTATCTGATAAAACAGCAGCCACATACTGGTCTCATCATGAAATGATACTTCTGCTTCTATCTTAATAACATTCAATATACAGTATATTAAGTATAATACTTATATGCATACCTCCACTACACTGACATCATACCTGATACAACTGTTTGCATTCTAAATACTCCTCAATGTGCTAACATTGTACTCAGTACAACTGTTTATATACATATTTTGTATACATTTCAAGTAAAGCTGTTTGTATCTAAATTTGTGTACCTTTAAATACATCACATCATATTTAGAACAGGTGCTAGATATATCTAACCCCTCAATATATGGCATCATACAGATTACAGGCTGAATCTACTCATTACTGATAAGCAGGCAACTTATCAAGTACAGTAATTCACAGTAGGTATAAACATATCCCTTAATATGCTGGTATCTTACCAGTATTCAGAAACATCAGCAGTATATAAATAGTATGAAGTAGAAAATGCAGTGAAAAATGAATGACAGTCACATTTTTTGTCACTTGTGTAATTATAACAGTAATATAGAATTTAAGTAAAAAGATGACTGGACAACATCCACTTGAAGTTACTTGGCAAATTTATTGCAGTTTACTAGTTTCAGCTTATTAGATAAGCCGCATCAGAACAATTGTTTACAATTCAAAACTGACATAAAGTATGAAATGCGGTGCCTCTGCCTGGCAACGATCACATGGTGTAACAAGAGGCCCATGGGCCTTAACGGTCACCTAATATATTTATACAGAGAGTTGATTTTGTTTTTAACATGAACAGAATTATTATTCAAAGTGACAAAAAAACAATAAAACCACCTTATTCAATATCTAGCATACAGATTTAAGACTAAAAACTATTTGAAACTAGCACCACTGATTCTAAACAAGGAAAATGAAGAAATTTTAGCACACTGACTCCTTTGGGCCCCACCCTACAGCCCTTGGGAGTAGGGCTGGCTCAAAATGTAATATTCAAAGTATCATTTACCATTATAAACCATAATAAATTTTGCCCCCCTCCCCCTCCTTTCCCAGGGGGTAAATGTGAGACCCTAGGGTCATAAACCTCAAGACCCTTCCATCTATGAAGAGTATTTGATTTTACCATATCTGGGTCTTGATAAGAAGATTTTTGAAATTTCAGTAAACTTGACCCTTTTTGGCCCCACCCATCAGCCCCTGGGGGTCAGTCAGGGCTGATATGTGCTTATATTATCAAACTGCTACCTAATACTGATAATGCTAACCCAAATTGAATTACTTCCAATGGAAATTAAACAAATGTTGGTCCAAAATGTGATTTCCCTATATAAACTATAGTAAAGTTTACCCCCTCCCCAGGGGGAAACGTGAGACCCCAGGGTCAAGAAATTCACAATTTCGGTAAAGCACCTTAAGACCCTTCCATCTATGAAGAGTATTTGATTCTACCATATCTGGGTCTTGAGAAGAAGATTTTTGAAATTTCAGTCAATTCAACCCTTTTTGGCCCCACCCATCAGCCCCTGGGGGTCAGTCAGGGCTCATAGGTGCATACTATCAAACTGCTACCTAATACTGATAATGCTAACCCAAATTGAATTACTTCCAATGGAAATTAAACAAATGTTGGTCCAAAATGTGATTTCCCTATATAAACTATAGTAAAGTTTACCCCCTCCCCAGGGGAAAACGTGAGACCCCAGGGTCAAGAAATTCACAATTTTGGTAAAGCACCTTAAGACCCTTCCATCTATGAAGAGTATTTGATTCTACCATATCTGGGTCTTGAGAAGAAGATTTTTGAAATTTTAGTCAATTTGACCCTTTTTGGCCCCGCCCCTCAGGCCCCTGGGGGCTTAGGACTAAACCGGCAATTTTTTTTGTTGACCTTTGTCCATGGAAGGTTCCTGCAAAATTTCATTGAAATTGGTTCAGTGGTTTTGGAGAAGAAGTCGAAAATGTAAATTGTTTACGGACGCACGACGGACGACGGACGCACGACGGACAAAAGGCGATCGCAATAGGTCACTTGAGACTTTGTCTCAGGTGACCTAAAAAGTGACGTCTATGATAGTTCACAAGAGATTGACGTCATAGTTCATGAGTCCATAACAGTGTTATAGGTAACATTTATACCTTAAAGGAAGGGCTTGGCCGAACATGCTGTCACTACACTACTGACAGACAGCTGGTTTTCAGACTCGTGTGGATACAGGATAGATGATGAAAGGACAGATGTGGATAAATATAGATGAGGATACAAGTTTAATGTGATGATGCGAAATCTTTCGAAAATACAATCATAGGTGATGTGATAACCAATGTAGTCTTTAACAGTGAAATGTGATTGACACAGGGTAGTGATGCTTAGATGTGTCCGAGATTATACAGATGGCAGCAAGCTATTGTCAGGCTGAGCCACTGGTCGAAACACAGGCCGGTCATGCAGTGTAACATCGAACATCATGCTGAACAAACTCTTACCAGCCACGTCTAGGGCAAACCGCAGCTCCTTCTTAGGGGCAAGTCCCGCACAGGGGTCCTGAGAGGTCCCATTCTCTATATGGCAAACCAATCTTCATTACTTATGGCAGCAACCATATCTGGGAGTTTATCCACTAACTCTTAACACACAAGTCATAGACCCTAAACTAGACAGTGGGTGTCAACTCATCATTTACAAACTTACATCATCTAGAAAGTTAAATTTAGACATTCCAGTGAGTGTATGAAATAGTTTTGAATTCTAAACTAGCTAGTGAAAAGTACATACTTTAGAACCATATTTGTGGAGGTTACAATATGTGAGGTAGAATATCACAGGTCCAGGTGTTTGTATCAGATTTGACCAACAAAGCCAAGGAAGGGAGATAACTCTGACATGGGTATCGGGCACATGCTACTTTATCTGACATAAAATTTGTATAAACAGGCAAACTCCTTCTATGTTTCTTTCTCTCAGTGACAAAATACTACAAGCACACTAATTCATGTGTATGATTTACTATAAAGTCTACTTCATTAGAGACATAGATTTGTTTGCTAACCTTCCTATATACAGATATATACCTATGTTGGAAGAGAGACAACTGCAACATTATCAGCCAGGTACTACGATACTTGAAACATGTACTACATGAAAAAGAGAATTGATTGAAAAGGTTCACTAATACAATACTCTACCCAATAGATCAAATAATACCATACTCTATTACTATTGATCCAATAAAACAAAGAGAAAAACCAACAAATTTGTAATTATCTGTATTCCAGAAGTTGTCATCTGTAATTTTAATCAGTGTAAAAATAAAGTGAACATATCCAAGTTTCCATTACCGGGTATATGAGTTTGCCTTTGAATGTTTACTGAGATTCCCGATGTAATTATGCATGCATCAGAACAAAACATTAGGAGACCTTAGACTGCAGGCATCTCTATCACTTTCATCAAATATAGGAATTCAATTTGTGCTTATTGTTGCCATTAGAATCAGAGCAACATAATGGACAATGGAATTGAGGTAGCCGATTCTTACTTCCAGTCCAATGCTTTGACTGGCATTGATTAACTTCCAGACAGGGAGATGGCAGTTACAAGAATAGTGTGGTGGTCAGGCTATATACACATTCTCTGTTAATTAGTTATGTTAGAAAAAAACCAATACCCGTATAGTATTGGGCACTGAATTACAAGGACATCATTAACATATCACCAGGACACTATTTACCATGTCTGGGTCAGCCAAGCATTTAGCTCAGAACTGCAACAAGAGAGCAACAGAGAGTGAAGGGATCATCTTGTGATAAAATAATTATAAAGTGAAAATAAAGAGTGATTTAAGGTTTCCCTTGTGACAAACCATTTTGTGACCAAAAAAGGGCAATAACTTATTGTCTTTTTGTGACCAACAACCTTGAAGTGACAAGAGGAAGAGGATGAAGAATAAGTTTTTTTACAACCTTGTTTTGACAATAGTGAGAGAGTAAGGGATTCCTTCTGACAATTCACACTGTCGTGATAAGAGGGGAAAAGAGATTGAAGGGTACCCTTATGAAAAACAAGATTGTAATGACAAAATGAGATAATGAATGGTCCCATATATAGTGACAAGACAGGAGACTGAAGGGGCCTTGTGACAAACAACATTCTATTAAATAGATGGAGGGACTGGGGTTTCCCTTTGTGACAAAAAACTTTGTAATAAGAAGATGGAGGGACTGGGATATCCCTTTGTGACAAACAATATTGTAGTAAGAAGATGGAGTATCCCTTTGATGGAGGGACTGGGGTTTCCCTTTGTGACAAACAATATTGTAGTAAGAAAATGGAGGGACTGGGATATCCCTTTGTGACAAACAATATTGTAATAAGAAGATGGAGTATCCCTTTGATGGAGGGACTGGGGTTTCCATTTGTGACAAACAATATTGTAGTAAGAAGATTGAGGGACTGGGATATCCCTTTGTGACAAACAATATTGCAATAAGAAGATGGAGGGACTGGGGTTTCCCTTTGTGACAAACAACATTGTAATAAGAAGATGGAGGGACTGGGGTTTCCCTTTGTGACAAACAACATTGTAATAAGAAGATGGAGGGACTGGGGTTTCCCTTTGTGACAAACAACATTGTAATAAGAAGATGGAGGGACTGGGGTTTCCCTTTGTGACAAACAACATTGTAATAAGAAGATGGAGGGACTGGGGTTTCCCTTTGTGACAAACAACATTGTAATAAGAAGATGGAGGGACTGGGGTTTCCCTTTGTGACAAACAACTTTGTAATAAGAAGATGGAGGGACTGGGATATCCCTTTGTGACAAACAATATTGCAATGACAAGATGGAAACTATATAGATCCCACTGTGATAAGTGACAAACAACTACCCGGTATGTGCTGACAATTAAGTCAGAGAGATTAGATTGTCCACTTACAACAAACAACTATGTGTTGACAAGTCATAGAGATTACATTGTCCATTTGCAACACACAACTTTGTGTTGATAAGATAGAAAACTAAAATGTCTCCATATGACAGATAAAACTATAGTGAAAGGATCCGGAAGAGATGACTGCAGAAGGGTCCTAATGTGACAAACAGCCTTGTAGTAAATAGTAGGGATTGTAAAAACCCTTCGTGCCAAATGAACAGTGTGGTGACAAGGGAGAAGACTGAATAGTCTCCATGTTATAGTCAATATTCTAGTTGAAAGAGATAGATGTTGAAGAGTCCCCTTCTACTTTTCAATCATAGCTAGGCCTACTTGGAAGAAAGTTTACAGTCGTTATCATGGCCTAATTCATAACTGGGGACTCCGTCTCTATAATGATAATGGGTTCATGACGTATTTCCTTTTGTTTTGATGACTCTTCTGTCAATTTGTCTTTGTGTTGATGCTATGGTAGTAGATGTAGAACACATTATGTATGGCTATAGTGACAAAGGGCAAAGGTCCTCGAGTGGTAAAACTTTTATGACTCACTAAACCTAATCTCTTTCAGCATCAAGAACATCAGCTTTCTCCTTTTAAAAGCTTAAAACGGTCAAAGCTTGTAAGACATGTTTCAATTACACAGAATCCATTGTATATGCCATCAACTACAAATAAACATCCTTTTAAAATTTAACTACATAACCATGTGAGGCAGACAAGTATATTTACTCCTACTTTCCATGTATACAGCTATGGTGTGTGAAGGGTATGGTTGAGTAGAGGACTAAACAATACTGGCCACACATTACTACACAACAGTTACTGGTCCCCCTCAGTACAATCCCCTCAGGAATTAGCTATAACTTACTAATATTTCCTCAATTTTTTAGTCAAGGCTTGATCCACAATTAACTGAAGACATCAAAAGGACTCAACTATTAGTACAAAGTGTAGTGACAAAATTATTGGTGGCATCACTCAGCTTAATCGCCTCAAATTAAATCTTCCATCCCGACACAGTAGCAGTACTGACCTGAGTACTAATTAAGTAGCACTAACTGTGCAATTTACAGCCAACTTTTCTTTTTTGTGGTTTTAAATGCCACAAATTCAGTTAAAAGTTTATCCTTGATATGATAAAGCATTTATGTCTGATATTGGTAAAATCCTAGATTTCCCCCAAATTTCAAGATACAGCGGGACCTAATGGGTTGGTTGGTTGGGGTAGGAGGTGGGTGTCTACCTTTAAATTCTTAGCTTGGCTACATGATTTACATTTGATGCAAAGTATTATGTTTCCTAGCCCTGGCATAATTATATTTAATTAAGAAACCATCTGGTTAAGCTATTCAAATGCCTAGGACTGCTGACCCAGATACAGTTTATATCCGATTAGAATCAACACCTCTAGTACCTCCAGTAGTGGTTTCTGACAAATATTAACTGCATGGCCACGTTAGTCAGAAGCTAACCAAAGGTTCCTATAGATGAACATATGATTAAGCACAAGTTGTTCTGGCTGGTCTGGAAGTTTGTGATTTAAACATATATACATGTTAAACAAATCTGACCTTCACAGGCGTAGCTGTAAATCAGGCATGTATTGCTACCAAACAGCACTGCACAATTATGTACCTTGTGTGTTCAGCATTACAAATCACCTTTATTTCTACATGGTATACATTACATAAATAAGGTAATAGAAGCCTAACAACCAGTTAAAATCTCACATTTTCCCATAAACTGTGACATCATCCTGAAAGAATGGATCCATTGTGGTACATGTTTAATGGCTTTGCTACCCTTGGTAAAATTCAGTGCAATAATTAATGAAAACAGAAATTTGGAAAAGGTATTTAAGTATACTTTTTTTATAAAATCTATAGAAGATTTTACGTAAAAGGTCAGTAAATGTCTATGAATATTTTGATCACCCTAGCCTGCTGCAGCTGCCCATCTGAATCCCTTTATATGCAACAGCTAGGATTTAAAATTATGCCATATGTGGGTGGTTATGAGAAACTTGGACAGGCAAACTTGGGCAAACTTTGTACAGTAACTGATGTGCACTGTGTGAAAATAACAACCTTCCTCACATATAGTCCTGTTACCAAGACGATGTGTAGCCCCAAACCATAACCACCCTCAGAGACTGTTAACCTAGAATAACATCCAAGGCCTTACATGTAAATATGTGATGGTACAACCCTTCACTGCTTTGATACTATATATAATACATTGTATACACTTTCATATCAGAGTTTTAACACAATTTTATCTTCTTCTTTTTTAAGAAGAAGAAACAAAAAACCTCACCATTATAACACTATGCAAGTGATTTTTTTCAAGGATTGTGGTCAGTTCGTTGAATTTATTTAGGGAAAACTTAATTGCTATTATAATTGCTAAGATCAACACCAAATTCTGATTTTTTTTTTTTAAATGTTCGGGTATTCCAGTGTAGGTCTATGGAATATAATATTACACAAGGTGTTGAGCGATCTCCATCAGCACCTCAATTTACTTTATTTAAGCCAAAAAAATAACAACATTTATAATGGAAAAGATCACAAAATGCAGAATATTTAGAACTAATGCATGTAAGTATATAAATATTCACAGGTTTCTGCCCATACAGTTCTGTTCTTTACATTGTTCTGAATTTGTAGTTGTATCATTGTATGTCAATACTTGCACATTTCACACGTACGGTACTGTAGTGTAAGCAGTTGAGGGTCTTGTGGAAGATCGATTTTTGTATTTAACTTATCACCCTTATTAGATAAAGAACTTACTATTTACAGACTGATATTCTAGTACTCAAATCTTTTTGACAGCCAGCTACTATATTTATAACTACACTATTTACCACTACACCTTACAGTAAGCATATATTGACATATTGTAGTAAGCAAATTGACAGATGTCACCTATTTCAATAGCATTGTACACAATATACTCATTTTCATAACACAGCTAAAACACAAGTGTAAGGTCAGAATAGTTGCACCTATAAAGTATCACAGTTTTCCACAAATCATTCATCAAATGCAAAGCCTCCTTTGTATTTAGCCTTAAAACCCTTTATATTATTTGCTTTCAGGCATGCTTCAACTTGAAATAAAGTGTTTTTAATTTAAATCCATTGTACCGGGTATACATGACAGATAAGATTAGAATGTGCCGGTCTGGGACCCTGTATAATGTGTCCCCCGACCAACCCACCTACTGTGAACACTGCTCTTATCCAAAGCCCCACTCTGGGGCCTGGGTTACCTACCTTTGGTCCTGGGCACGTCCCCGTCCATGGTTCCTATACACACAGTAATGCCACGCCTATTCCTCTGCTGCTGCCGCTACTACTAAGGTTTAAATTTAGTCAGGAAAACTTCTAGCTTCCAACAAGGTCAAGGTCAGTGGAGTGCATTCACTGTTACTGAAGATAACATTAGTAACACTGTAGTAGGTGAACCGTGAAACCCAGCCAAAACAGTGTATGTGTCTTCACATGTGAGTTATTAGGTGAAAGCAATATTATAATCCAAACTATGGGTATTATGGTGTTTTGTTATGAATAAACTTGATAGTAATGTAAGGTGTAAGTCAAACAAAGCTAGTACACAAAAGAGTAGTACTACATATACATGAGTAATGTTTATACAGTAGGAGTTATATATGTGTATATTGGCCGACTGGCCCTATATACTCATGCCTCTCAAGCCATTCATACAATACACCCCACACCAACACTTTAACCTACTTTAACCTCGATCAGACAGTTTTATGCCACTTGTCTCAGATAATGTCCACACCGGACCAAACAGATAAGGAATGTCATATATCAATTTTTTATTCTTCCATACTGTGTACTCAACACTCCTATATACACACATACGAAATCCTAAAAACCAGGACACAATTATACACATGCTGAACAAATTACAATCCCCTTTTAGGCTAAGCAATACAAACTATCACACAAGTACTACTCAAAACCATCCCTACAAAGTCTGTACATCTAAGTCTTATAGCCTGAAGCAAAATATCATACAATAGTTTAACAGAACAAAATAACCTGTTAGATTAAATGAGACTAGATATTGAGACCCGTGACTGGCAGCATAATGCATTTCACAATTTTTGACTTCACATTTCAAAAATTTTGCAACACCTGTTTTTTTCTTACAGAGTTTCACATAGCCTGGAATCCAAACACAAACATTTTGCTAATATAATATGTAATTTCAATTTAAAGAGTTGTCATTGATTTTTGTTTCTTCTTGATAATATTTATTATACATGCCCCGACAACTGGCCCCACATATTTAATATACAAGTATCATATATAGCAGTTCAACTGAAAAATCATTAAATTTTAATTCTGTTTGGTCACAGTCACCTGTTTTATGTGTACACAATAATCAATAGAGGTATGTATAGTGTCTGTCATCTATACTCCATGTATAGACAGATCAGACTTCATAGCTTGATCAGTAATAAACTACATGTTTATCAATCCTATTAGCTTTGAATTGAGGCTTATAATGCTTATAATGCAGCAGTATTACTGTGAAATGTGTAAGCAACAAGCTAATTAGTAATTATACTGGTAAAATCACTAAGTTTGACAGCAATTTAGTACACTGCTGTTTTCTAAACCGGCTCATTTATGCATACATTTTCTATTTTCTTCTGTTTCCTTTTGCTTATTAATCACAGGATGGAATTATTAATCATAAACTACAAAACATTTTTAGCAAGAGATCCCAGAGGGATCTTGGCACCCACCATTGTACCATCTTCATTAGTTCTTCGTCAGTTCGATCTTTTCTCTTCTTTCCTCTAATCTGTTTGATCGAGTCATGTTAACAGTAAATGCACCTTGAGGTAACTTTTGATCTAAACTTAATACTGATGTGTATGAAAGTCAACCTTCAAAGTGAGTTTGTCATTTCACATATTTACTAGTACAGCTACTTAATGTGAAAGAAATAGAATCGATCATTGCAATATGAGAAAGATCTGTTTAGTTCTTCCTTTAGCCATTTTGTTTTTATGATCAGTCTCAAAATATAACATGCAGAACAAAGGATCAAGGGGAACCTACATTTAAAATTTGAGAAAGATCCCTTAAGTGTTATTCCTGAGAAATAGTACTAACAAACCTTCAATGTCAAAAATTGAAGGTAGCTGTCGGTAGGCCATTTTGTTTAACTGATCAGCTTCAAAAGTAAACATGAACAATAAAGGATAGTGGGGAACCTGCATTGGCTGGCCCAAAATATTTTTTTTGGGCGAGTAAAAAATTTGAAGCACTGGCCCAAATAATTTTGGGAAGAAATATTTCCACAGCGTTAAACACAATGCTTCAGCACATTTGAATTACATATAACATGACAATGTTTGTAATATGTAAAACAGAATAAAACATTATATGTTTAATTCTTCAATCCTAGTTAAAACCTGACATGACTCCATTCAGGTCTTCCAAAAAAGTAATACACAAAACTTGCACCTCAAAGACGACACCCTGGCAGCATTTATATAGAAAATCTGAAAAAAAATCATCACATTTTTTGTATCATGGACAGTTCGATTCAAATCGAAGTAATGACAACTGAAAAATGTACTGCCCCCCAGTTAATGTGGAAGGGACTATAATTTCTTTTATTCATTAATTTTACGACAGTCGCCAAAACTATTTTTGTTGGGCCAGTGACTACCTCACTTTTGACAACTTTTGGTCGCTCGAGCAAGACTTTACCCGCCATTACTGGCAAGCAGGCGACCGTCCATTTCAGGCACTGCTGCACAGCTAGGGACCAAGGGAAACCTACATATAAAATTTAAGAAAGATCCCACTGGTACTTCCTGAGAAATAGCGATAACAAACTTTCACTATCAAAATCCAAGATGGCTTCCTGTCGGCCATGTTGTTTATCTGATCAGTCTCAAAAGTTGCCCTGCACAGCTTAGGACCAAGGGGAACCTACATATAAAATTTGAGAAAGATCCCTCTGGCACTTCTTGAGAAATACTGATAACAAGAATTGTTTAAGGCAGACGACGGACGACGGACGGACAGACCACGGACGCAGGGTGATTTGAAAATTTAACAAGAGATCCCAAAGGGATCTTGGCGCCCACCTTTGTACCATATTCATTAGTTCTTTGTCAGTACGATCTTTTCTCTTCTTTCCTCTAATCTGTTTGATCGAGTCATGTTAACAGTAAATGCACCTTGAGGTAACTTTTGATCTAAACTTAATACTGATGTGTATGAAAGCCAACCTTCAAAGTGAGTTTGTCATTTCACATATTTACTAGTACAGTACTTAATGTGAAAGAAATAGAATCGATCATTGCAATATGAGAAAGATCTGTTTAGTTCTTCTTTTAATCCATTTTGTTTTTATGATCAGTCTCAAAATATAACATACACAACGAGGGATCAAGGGGAACCTACATTTAAAATTTGAGAAAGATCCCTCCCGTACTTCCTGAGAAATAGCGATAACAAACTTTCACTATCAAAATCCAAGATGGCTGCCTGTCGGCCATGTTGTTTATCCGATCAGTCTCAAAAGTTGCCCTGCACAGCTTAGGACCAAGGGGAACTTTCATATAAAATTTGAGAAAGATCCCTCCAGTGCTTCTTGAGAAATAGCGATAACAAACTTTCAATATCAAAATCAAAGATGGCTGCCTGTCGGCCATGTTGTTTATCCGATCAGTCTCAAAAGTTGCCCTGCACAGCTTAGGACCAAGGGGAACTTTCATATAAAATTTGAGAAAGATCCCTCTGGTACTTCTTGAGAAATACCGATAACAAGAATTGTTTACGGACGGAGGACGGACCACGGACGCAGGGTGATTTGAATAGCCCACCATCAGATGATGGTGGCTAAAAATGTAGAGCTCTTCCCTCTAATCAATTCTGGATACATCTTTTGCAGGAAGTAACTTCTTTTTACATTAATTTGCTAAAACATCTTTCAGAAATGTCCCATTTACACAGCTTCTTCTTCATATTAACAGAAGTAACCCACACTACCTGGTACACCCATGTACCACCTACTTAGGAGGACCCATTTAGGTGTTTTATTTGAAATAAGGGTTAGTCATCATGATTCATACCAGTTCTGACATCCCACTGAAGCACATCTCTTTGTAACTTCATTTGAATTACATGTTTACTAGGATCAAAAGTCTCTACTTGTGGCACTGAGTGTATCTCATTTAATGTGATGCACTTAATGATGGGTCCCTCCCCTGCAGATTTTAATTTTGTTTTTTATTTGGCATCTGCATTTTTTGTCGAACACCAAGGTTACAGACTTGACATAAGTTCAATCTGAGACAAGCTGAAATTTTGACAGTCAACCAACCATCTGAACTTACAGCTGGTCATCTGTGACAATTGCCATTAACCATTAAGTGGTGATACATTTTCGCCCCTTCACAGAATCTTTTCCCTCACATACTACATATTTACTGGTAAACACTCTCTTTACCGAGTCACGTACTTGTAACAAGGTTTGGGAACAACACCAAACTTATAATGTGAGATGGGCAAAGCATGGGGCAAAATAAATGTTTTAAGGAAGACCTTCAAAATTCTTGACAGTCATTTACCAACTACACGAGCTCTCCTGACTTGTCATCATGTGACTTGTCTAGTCTAGTAAAAAACAAGCTTCTTAGGACGTTGCATTTTGTAGGTTTGCAGACCTGGCCGTGACTTACCTAAACCTGTACAGACAAAACATGTACTATAGACCAGGATATATGACTGTATCACTACCACTTTGCTTTCCTATCTCTATTTATTTAACATCTGATATGGCAGACCCCTGTTATCAACACAGCAAAGTGTTAACAGATACTGGCTGACAGTTCATCGTGGATTTATCACAATAAACAAACACTGTACAACTATTGCAGATTGATAGAAATCAAGATCCCAAAATAGGAACGTACCAAATGAACGACTCACATACCAGGTAATATGTACTGTAACAGCACACAATGCTGCATATGTACCACTTTCAGCACAAATTAATACTACATCAGCATTCAGTGTTGTATCACTGTGAAATGCTGTATGATTGTGTATTATTGTATTACATGTAAGACAATAAATAGACACCAGCAGACAATAGAAAAAAATGCTTTATTTTGGGTCCCTGTAAGTGCACAGAGCTGAGATGCAACCATTGTCTTTGTAAGAGAACACTGAATGATAGTAAGAAATCAGACAAAAGGAATAAAAGTGACCGAGAGATCAGATCAATGAGTAAGAGATCTGATTTCAATGAATGACAGACTAGTAAGAGATCAAATAATAAATGACAGTAAGATCACTTCAATGAATTATTTTGAGAGATAATTAATGAATGTCAGTCAGTAACAGATCATTGAATGTTTGTATGAGATGAATATAATTTAAAACACATGTATTAGTACAATGTAATATTTAATGAAAGGTGAAAGACACAACACATTCAAGGGTGTTCAATTTTATATTAGAGTACAAGCAGGCAGATATTGACAAATAGTACTAGCACGACCTATATTTCATAGTAAATATTGACAATTTCACAATTTAAGCCTGGTATAATATCCAAATAGCATAGGACTCCAGGCTAGTAAAATTGTACACCCTTGTACTCCAAGATAACTTACATTTAATTCAAGTTACATAAAGGTGCCATTTTCAACGATTCATTTCATCAGTTCACTAGCTTTAGATATTGCTACACATGCCAGGTTTTTACCTAATATATACAGTTTTATACTAATCATGCTACAATTCAAGACAAATGAATTAAAAACTTAACAAATTAAATTGTATCAACACATGTACTATCATATCAAAGTTTTTTCAAACTAAACTATGCCCAACATGTAAAGACTAAAACAAGTACTTTACTTTCTAACTGTATACAGCAATAAACTATGCATTAATTCACTTTATACATCTATATATATCCTTATAATAACAATAAAATATGTCTTACTTCTAGGTATATTCAATACAAAATTAACAACACAATTAACTGCTGTATTTAAAGCAAACACTTTGCAGGAACTAATTTATTTAGATTTTAAGTTCACGTAAAACTCCTAAAGGTAAAACCACAGTCTCCATCCTAAAATCTTTCTAACGACATGTGTAATACTGGGTATGTATTAAATTGTATAACAGTGTGTGAAATCAGTGGTAACCTAAAGCAGTAGCAGCAGCTTTATAATGCTAAACGTTGTCAAGCTACATGTATGATAAGATTTCAACATACTGAATTCAAATTGTATCCCTATTTTTAAAATGGACAATATAGGGCCAAGAAAAATAATACTATTATACCCAATTTGTTAGGGTTTTACAAACCCAGATCAATTCTTTCTTCATTTATCCAACATGTGTGACATGAAACAAACAGCTGGTGTATACTAGTATACAAAAGAGCAGGCTTCAGACTAAGTACAATGTTTGTCTGGCTACATCAATATAATTTGTTACACCTGTAGGAAAGTTCCAGATAGTGTGCTAACTACTATACCGGTAAATAGCCACATGCAAGAAGAATGAACAAATATCGATGAGAAATATAACTTTTTATATATATATATAGTGATAAATAGTTTAAAATGTCCATGTGACGGTAAAAATATAAATAACAAAACACGAAGACTAGTATAATAGGCTAGCGCTTTTGCCCATCTTGGGGCTCTTATGATGGGCGAAAGCGCTAGCTGATTATACTAGTCTTCGTGTTTTGTTTTATCTATATATATATATACATTATATACATGGTAGGTGGTATTGTTCTCCACATTAATCATCTTCACAAAATAATTAAGTAAAATACTTTATTACTCATCTGGGTTTTCATTAAGAACAGCAGGTCAATATGACTGGTTCAGTTCTAATATATCTAATATGTTATTTTACAAAAGTTGTCTGGTTAAAAAACTCATTTGGCCTGTTCAAATAGAAGTTACTGTAAAGCCTGTATTATAGAAATAAGAACCTGTATATATTATTTGAATATATATATGTGTATTAGCGTGTAGTATGGTACATACCAGTTGTTAAAGAAAGGTAATCTATAAATCATCAAACCAATTATACATTCACATCAGGTATAATTTTTCAAATGTATGATTAGATACATATCATTTGGTATGGTTATATAGGTTATACATATATATGAAATATATAACAAATCAAATGAAACTTTGCTTCTTGTCGGAATTCATAATTCAAGATAATGCTATAGTTAGTAATGTCTGCAGTAGATCTTTCAAAGACATTGTCAGTGCCAATGTGAACACATATAGTAAGCTTCTTTAAAACAGTTTTATGTTATTGTTTTCTTGGTTATAAGTTCTTTATTTTCTTGTTAAGGCTTTTACCCCGGGTACTCAATAAAAACTCTTAAAAATGCAAGTGGATGGTTCAAATCTAAGTGGGCAAATACAACCTGACTTTATTGTTGTTCAATTTAAACAGTTATGAAATAAAATTCCACATATTCAAGTAGTGGAGCACCGTCATTGAATGTTAATAGTTGTTTTTGTTAATTTGGGGTTTGGCCTTTTTGTCTCATTCTGGGAAGAAAACATACTAACTGGGAAGGAAATTTTCAGGAGTAAACTGCAAATTCTGGGAATAAGGCATAAATATGAAATAGTTTCAATTTGGAATGGCCCATTATCAGCCCAAAAAAGTCCCCTGAAACCCCCCCACTGATATATCATATAAGACAAGTGTAAACAGAGGTGAGCAATATCTGTGGTCACGATAATCTTGTGTATTTTGAAAAAAATGGAGAACCAAGCTGGGTGAAGGCAGAGACGTATTATACGTCTCTGGTGAAGGTAAAACAAAACATTTTGTTTTGATTACTCAATTTCCAATGACTGGTGGCATTGCAATGACATTATTGCGACTAGGGACCACAAACTAAAGAACCTGCCTATATTGATACATGTAAGGAAGGAAGCTTAATATTGCCTGTGTAATTAATGATCGGTGTATAAAGACCCAAAAACAGGGTTTGAAAATTGCTCTCCTCTATCACAGGCGCTTGTATCTGGTATTCAATACCCGAGCTAAAATCCAAAATTCACTATTTGCATATATATAAGTAGTGCATTTTGGATTTCAGCTCATATGTATGTAAGTAGTGCATTTTGGATTTTAGCTTGGGTATTAAATACCAGATTTGCATATATATGTAAGTAGTGCATTTTGGATTTCAGCTCATATGTATGTAAGTAGTGCATTTTGGATTTTAGCTTGGGTATTAAATACCAGATACAAGCGCCTGTGCCTCTATTAAGGCGCTTTCACTGTTCTCCTAGATCTTCAAGGGGAAATAACATAAAATATTTAAACGGCAGAACTTCCTCCGGCGTTTGAAAGAAAATGTATTTAGTACCAACATGAAGCTTTATTGGGAGATAAATTGTGCCTTTTTGTAAAGTTACTGACGGTCGATTCGTTGAACTGGTCGATGATACCGGCTGATACAACAACCTGCGGCCAAATGCATCGCAGTCACTTCAGGTTAGATAACAATAAATGCAAAGTATTGATTAACACCATTGTTAAACATTAGTGCATTAGTTGTCATGCGTGTTAATACATACCCACACCACTAGATATAGATATTAGTGAGGCATCTTCCATCTCGTACATGTGTAAAATCGGGTCCGGGCATTGGCTGCGTGAAACGTCATTGATTTTGAGGAGTATGCGAAAATATCACAATTATTTCAGCGAGATAAAGCCTTTTCAGCAAAAATATTAAAAATATAGTGTGTCGATTACAATTAATCTTGTGTATTATCAAATCATATAAAGTCACTTTTAATATGGCTTCAATGACTTTAATGACGTTAATTACCTATTTTATACGAAACAGAGGCTACTTACATTTACGTCAGCAGTTTATGAGCGCGGGAATAATTAAAACTAAAATGTGAATACTCTGGGAGGCGCAATATGGTTTTGTAACAACTGCGTTCAGAGATGACAAAATAGTTTTACAATAGTAGGAAACTTGTATCCCATTGTTATTTACACGATATTCCGAATCATCCCACCATTAACTGGAAAACTGACAGTAAGCATGGCCTCTATAAAATGTGATATCCACGAAGGTGAAGAGAAATGGAAAGGTCGAGATTTTCTTACTGCATTTTATTCACCAGCCGATGAAGATGAATCAGACCAGGATAATGACAAGAACGCTGGAACCGATTTGCCATATTCATCTTATTCATCACCTGCTTTTAATGTTCCCCCCGATAACAAACATAATGGCCTCCAAAGAAATCCTGGATATTCACTGGTAGGCCTATGTCACGAAGAATTTTTTGTTGAGTGCTGTGACCTTTGACATCGATCTATGTCAATAACCGTCTATAAACTTTCTAATTCATATATATATTATTAAGATATACATGGTATTTGGAAGCTGTGCTTGCACAACTGTTTGTTGTGACATTATCTGCTGATTTAATACCCCCTTTATTGGCTATCAGTGATCACATTCACCCCATTAGCCTGATTAGGCCTAAATGCCAGTGCAAAATCCATGCAAATGACCCGTGTTCGTTTTTATAGTTTTCCTCAAATTCTGTTGAATAACTGAATTGATTGCTTGCTTTGGACCCCAATTTTAATGGACAGCAGTTACGTAGGCTATGCTTCATTTTTTGGACCTTTAGTATTAGGATGTCAACAATTTTTTCATGAAGTTGTAAACCTGTGCACACACATGCAACATTTTTTTGTTGTCTTTCCAACACAGAGATTAGAGGAGTTATGCACCATTCCACATTTCACCTTTCAATCTGGCCATAGATACATATTTTCTCCCCCATTAGACAGAGATATCCACACTTCCGGTCAGGTCAGGGGGGGGGAGGGTGTATAACATTTGCATGACATCTTGTCAACAATTTAATGACCTCACATCTTTCATCAATACCAGATAACAAAGGATAACTCTAATCTGCTGGAATTCATAAAATAAACATTTCTATTTCATGAAATTACCACTTGTATTTTATGCGAGAGAAAAATAATCATTCCCCATTTTAAGAGTAAAACAGAAAAATCTCAACCCTTGGGGTAAGATACTTAAATGTCTGGTTCTTGGTAAAGCCTCAGGCTAGACATTTAAGAATCTTACCAAGGGTGGGGGAAGATTATATTAGTCCACCTATGCATAAAACCACATGTATTATTGGTCAAGGTCACAAACAAACTTTTTGTCAGGCTTTTCAATGTCACAGTGACATGCAGATCTACATGTCAAAGACATCATGTATGTAATGTAGCCTAGAGTAACCAGAGGCAGACATATGGATTTATTTCGGGATCCTTATTCCCAATACCATTGCAAAAACTATAAATATGCATTGTAAGGTTTTTTTCAGCATGACCATAGCTTTGATAAATCATTCCTGTACAGAAAACCATACCTTACAGGACTTTATATATGAATAAACATAATATAATCAACAAAAGTGTTCTGGGTGTAAAAATGAAATGATTACAACAGTTATATCCAAACGAAGTTAAGGGGAAATTATTGTATTGCAAAAAAAAAAACATCTTTGAAATCTCTGTTGTTTTGCCTGCAGTAAGACAATACAATTTATGCTTAACAACAAGATTGACTCTGGAATCTTATTATTATAATTTTACCTGAATCAATTCTGGACATTACATGGCTTTGAGTAAGTTCAAACTGGGTTTTATGTATATGCTCAGCAATGAAACTAGTATCATCGTAAATCATAGTAGGTTGAACAATGTATATAGTTCTAAAGTGTACCGGTTCCTACTCAGTGACTTTTTGCACTGTTTATTTACATGTATGGCTATGTGTTCAGAATATTTGTTTGTATTATTGTTTCTCCTTACAATTATTTTTGTAGTTAAACTTTATTACATAAAGATAGGGTCAGACCTTAATGAAAGACAGCAATACTGTAGCATTTGTCACTTTGCTGTATTACTTATCCTCCTTACTTAGTTATGCATAAATAGGATATAAATATGTAATGGAAAACTTGATTTCAATTTTCAATACTGATCAAGGTTCAACATAACACTGAACAATGGCATATTTTATTTCTTTTTGTTTACATTCTTATTTTTTTCTATCATTATGGAAAATACATCTTTCTCTCTCCTTATTTCTTTCTATCTATTTTCATCTTTCTCTTTGACCTGTTCTTTATTTCTGTATCTTTTTTCTAGAGATTTCTTTACCGACAAAGTATTTTTATTACAACAATCAACAAGTGACCCTGGTAACAGCCTAAAATTTATGACAATAGAGTACCAAGATATATATATAGTATAATAGAATAATCTTTTAATGTCAGAAAACCTAACAATTGCTTCTGTTAATTGCCAGGGCCTTGGAGATTTTAAGAAAAGAAAGGATGTCTTTGCATACATTAGAGAGAAAAAATATAATATATACTGTCTGCAAGATACTCACTTCACATCAGAGCTAGAAAATAGAATAAGAACAGAATGGGGATATGACTGTATTTTTAGTAATCATAGATCAAATTCAAGAGGGGTAGCAATTTTGTTCAATAATAATTTTTCTTACACTATTCATCATACTACATGTGACCCAAATGGTAATTTTATTGTCTTAGACTTAACGATACAAGAAAACAGACTTACTCTGATAACTTGTTATGGTCCAAATACTGATATTCCAAGTTTTTATTCAGAAATAGAAGAAATATTATTAAATTATAACAATGATAAGAATATTCTTTGTGGGGACTTTAATTTGGTTTTAAATCCATTGATAGACACTAGTAATTATAAACATATAAACAATCCAAATGCAAGAGATAAGTTATCTGATATAATAAATGAATGTGATCTAGTTGACTCTTATAGGGAATTTCACCCAGATACAAAAAGATTTACATGGAGACGGAAAAATCCTACAAAACATGCTCGCCTTGATTTTTTTTTAACCTCAAGAAATGTTTTGTCAAATATTATTAATTGTACAATTGAATCCAGCTATAAATCAGACCACTCCATGATAACATTAACATTAAAATTTCAAGAGTTTAAAAGAGGTAAAAGTCTATGGAAATTCAACAATACTCTATTGAGCGATATAGATTATGTTAAAACAGTGCAGAAAGTAATTAAAGATGTAAAGAATCAGTATGCAGTTCCGATTTATGATGTAAATAATCTTGATAATATAAATGAAAATGAAATACAATTTATTATTGATGACCAGTTATTCTTAGAAACTTTACTTATGGAAATTAGAGGGAAAACTATTTCTTATGCATCTTATAAAAAAAAGAAAACTTCTAAAGTAGAAAAAGATTTGATTAACAAAATTCAGAACTTAGAAGAAAGGGAGGGAATTTCAAATAATGATGATATCCACAAATACAAAAAAGAGCTAGAGGGTATTAGAGATAAAAACTTGATGGGAAATATGTTCAGATCAAAGGTAAAATGGATAGAAGAAGGGGAAAAACCATCAAAATATTTTTGTAGTTTAGAAAAAAGAAATTTTACAGAAAAAATAATACCAAGGATAGAAACAGAGGTGGCAACTATTACAAAACAGGAGGAGATTTTAGAAGAAACCCGAAAATACTATGATAGACTATACAAAAATAATGATAAACCCTCTAACTACTCATGGTTTGATGATGATATTTCACTTAATGATGTCCCTAAACTCTCATTAGAAGAAAAAATTATTTTAGAAGGTAGGATTGATTACTATGAAGCAACACATGTATTAAAGAATATGAAAAATGATAAAAGTCCCGGGTCAGATGGTTTTACTGTAGAATTTTTTAATTTTTTTGGGAAAAATCTAAATCCTTTTATTATTCGATCAATAAACCGTGGGTATAAAACTGGGGAACTTTCTATTACTCAAAAACAGGGAATCATTATTTGTATACCAAAAGGAGATAAGCCCCGTCAGTTTTTAAAAAATTGGAGACCAATTTCTCTTTTAAATGTTGTCTATAAAATAGCGTCGGGATGTATTGCAGAAAGACTTAAATCAGTTCTAGATAAACTTATACATAGTGACCAAACAGGTTTTATTCCGGGAAGATATATAGCTGACAATACTAGATTAATTTATGATGTAATGGATTATACAGAGGAACAAGACATACCAGGCATGTTACTTTTAATTGACTTCGAAAAGGCTTTTGATTCTGTATCATGGTCATTTATAAATCAAGTTTTAGAATTTTTTAATTTTGGTGAGTCAATTAAGCAGTGGATAAAAACATTTACAAATAATATTTCTTCTTTAGTGAACCAAGGTGGAAACCTATCTAAACCCATAAAATTAGGAAGAGGTTGCCGACAAGGAGACCCGTTATCACCATATATCTTCCTTCTCTGTGCAGAAATATTAGCAATAAAATTAAGAATAAATAAACATATAACAGGCATCAAAATCAACACTACAGAACATCTGATATCACAATTCGCTGACGACACTTCTCTTATTCTAGATGGCACTGCAATATCACTTAGACATGCTATAAAAGAGCTTAATTATTTCTGGGAAATATCGGGACTTAAATTAAATTACACAAAAACACAAGTAATATGGATAGGGAGTAAAAAGTATAGTACAGAAAAATTAGTCAATAATCTTGCTCTATCATGGGGTTCAACACATTTTAATCTGTTAGGTATTCACTTTGATGTGGACCTTACTAAAATAGTTCAACTCAATTTCAAAGAAAAAATTACGAAATTAAAATCATTAATTAAACAGTGGAATAGACGATATATAACTCCAATAGGCAGGATTACTGTAATAAAATCTCTACTTTTACCAATACTAACACATTTATTCATAGGACTACCTTCTCCTAACCAAAATATTATGATAGAAATTCAAAAGTTGTTTTATGAATACCTTTGGGGAAGTCCAATAGCTAAAGTAAAAGGAGATGTCATGGTCAAACAGTATGAAGAAGGTGGTTTGAAAATGATTAATATCAAACATTTTGAAATGGCTCTAAAATCAACATGGATAAGAAATATTTGTATTAAGACGTCAAATTGGCAAACCATACTGTTTGAAAAAATAAACAAGAAAAAAATGTTAACTTTAGGAAATAAATATATTGATTATGTTATCAAAAATATACTTCATAACAAATTTTGGATTGATGTTCTTCATGCATGGAATACATTAAGGGGAAACATTGATATATCTCAGTCAGATCAAGTATTATCTTTACCTATTTGGTATAATGACTTAATCAAAATAGGCAATAATACTGTATATTATAAGCGATGGTTTGATAAAGGTGTGTTTTTCATAAATGATCTAATTAAGGAAGATGGCAGTTTCCTTCAACATAATGAATTTAATGATATTTTTAATTTAAATACTAACTTTATTGATTATAATGGTCTCATTTTTGCAATAAGAAAATTAGGCTGGACTTTTGAAAAAAAACTTACACTACCATTGATACCACTGTATATTAATATAATTATCAAACATAAAAAAAGTACAAAGGATATGTATAATGTGCTGAACAAAAATAGTGTAGTGCCCACAGGTCAAATAAAGTGGAATAATGTATTTGGAAATATACCAAGTGAGGATTGGAAGAAAATATACAAACTACCTTTTGACACTAATACAAATTCGAAATTACAATGGCTGCAATTTAGAATTAATCATCACATTTTAGTTACAAACTCCTTTTTGAAAAAGATTAATTTGGTTCAGTCTGATATGTGTAATTTTTGCTTCATAGAAAAAGAAACTATTCAGCATGTACTATGGGAATGTAATACAGTCCAAAATTTTATTCTTGCTTTCCAAATTTGGATCCAAACTACTTGTAATGTGACTTTTAATATATGTAAAAAAGATTTTATTTTTGGGAAAATAACACAAAATCAAAATCAGAATAACAGGGCAGAAAATGTCATAATTCTTAATATGAAACACTACATATATTGTCAAAAGTGTTGTTGCAAAGAGCTTTACCTACCTACTCTAATCAGTAAATTAAAAACAGCATACTCTATCGAAAGATACATAGCAAAAAAATATGACAGGGAAGCATCTTTTATCAAAGATTTCAGCACCTTTCATATAGTTTTTAGATAATTAGATATATATATATATATAGATACATACATATACCAATCTATTTTTTTACTCTCCTCTTTTAGCAAGTTTTGTATTTCTTCCTTTTTTTTCATTTGCTGATATATTTACAATAAGCACCCTTTCATGAATAATTATTGCTTTCGTCGGGAATCTCTCTTCCTCTCTTCTTGTTCTTTTGTCTCTCTTATTCCTGTCCCTCTTTTCTGGATAAATTTCTACTTTTTAACCAAACTATCACCCAAACCCCGTTTCAATTAATTCCAGTCATTTTCTTGTATATTTATCTTTCTAGGCATATGTTATGCAAGTTATGTTTGTGAACCAAATTTTAAATTAATGATAAACTGGTTATTTTGCAACAAAAAAGGTTAGATACATATATTTTAATTCAAATCCTTCTTGCAGAACAGAGTTGCAAAGAATATTAATCATGATAAAACTTGAAAATGTATGCTTAATTAAGAGTGTATTAATGTAAAGGACCGTAACTGTTGTATTCCATCCTCAGACGGTTCCTCATGTGTATGATATGTCTGGAAGTAATAAAAAAAAATTAAAAAAAATTTAAAAAAAAAAAAGTTCAAACTTCAGAAAAGATGCAAAATTGATCGGTAACATTTTTATCAATATAAAATGGAGGAAATCAACTGCAACTCTCTTAAGGCAATTTTGTGTAGTTGATTCCTTAAAAATTAATTCAGGAAACTTGCCCCAAGTGTTATAAATAATAATAATAATAATTCAAGGTTCTTATGTAACACTTTATCACAACCTAGGTCGTGGGTTGTCTCAAAGCGGTTAACAAATTATAATCTGTGGTTATTGGGCCTTTGCAACCAGCCAATATCTTTCTCAACTCCCTGGGGAGCATATACAACCGGTGCTGCAATTCAGGCGACAACAGCTAGCATTCAACAATTCCAGTACTGCCAAATCACATACTTATTTAAGCTGAGTAGACTGGAACAAGAAGAGTTAATTGTTCAAAGATACAACACAGTGTCGTGACATGACTCGAACCCCCAACCTTCAGTCTTGAGCTCGGCATCCTACCACTAGACTACTGTCCCTCTCTGTTGCAAATGATTTGCCTTTTATGGGAAAAAAATGTATTTGTTTTAAAGGTTCGACCCAGAAAAATGACTCCAGCAATGTATAGAAATGGCAAATTGACAACACAGTTGACCAGAACACAAAATATGTTGACATCCCCTGTTACCACCAAACTGATGAGATTAAAACATAAGAATGACCAAACTCCCAATACGCTTTTACGGATTGAGAGGCATCGACAAAATGAAAGGTAACATTCTGTATATCAAATAAATAGGACACTGATTTTAGTATTATTAAAACTGTATATAAAATAAAAATATCTTTGAAAATGGTATTTTGATAGTAAAATTATAAAAAAAAACAATTGTATAGTAATAACCATAATTTAATGAGAAGATATTTCCATTAACACAAATACATAATATTTTATTTATAGGGTACGTCATCACACACTGAATAAGTCTATGATGAATGTTTGCAGTAAGGTGCCAGGGATTGGAAACTTTATGAAAGAAACTAAGGTGAGACTGGCACAGGACTTAATGAAGTTACTATTACAGATATTTTAATTTATGGCCAAAATCAATGAAGCAAATGTGCATAAGGAAGCTATTCCGTCTTTGCGCATTGCAGAGTTATCTGCTCTTGTGAGCAGGTATTGATTGTTACGTCATCTGTTTGTGAGAGTAACGTCATCAATTTTTGAGCAAACGACGTAATTTTCTCGCACAAACCAATGACGTAACAATACCTGATGTACATGCTTCTAAAATTTAGGTTTCAATGATTTTCACCTATAGAAATATTAAAATAAACTCATCTTTTCAAAGATGAGTGGATGATCTATAAAGACTGGATTAACAATTGTCTGTTTTGATTCATAGCAATTATTTGTGAATTCTGTCTTCAAATTCATTGTTCTTTACAGGTGGTGATGATGCAAAGGATAATTGCTTATATCTGCTATTTAGAAAATACATTACAAAGCGTATGCGACAACTTGGGATTCCGAATTTCACAACTCCGGCTTCCTACGAACCTTCTCACCGAACAATGGCAGCCAAACTCAGGTTTCCATCTTCTTTTGAGTCAGATTAAAGCTATGAATTTGACTTCTGAATTTCCTGCTTCATGTATTTCTTCACAGGGACTTGTGCTGTTTGTGGAAGTAGGATTTTACAAGGCATTAAAATCCTATATAATGGATACAAATTATTAAAAAAGTTAGGTGATTGAAACTCATCCTGTAAACAGGACAAACAAAACCACTGAATTTTGTCCTAAACAGCCAGAATTAAAATGAAAATGTAGGGTGGTGGTGTCTTGTGATAACCAAGAGAAGTGAAAAACAGTGTACTTTCACTTGTCGTTATGTGCAAAAGACATTGTTAATTATCATGCTGAAATCCAACTTGTTAATTATCAACACTAATTAGTTCTCTGAAACTACAGATTCACTTGCACTGTGCTGGTCAGAAATTTGATATAAACTTTGTTTCATTATGAAAGACAAACTGAAATTTCAAGTACTGTATATTCTGTCTAAACTGGCCTCAAATCCATATTTTTGTCCATGATACATGTACTACTTAACCCAAGAGTTGGGATCTGACAATGACAATATATATAAATAATGATCTTTATTGTGAACCTCTTTACAAACCAGCCAAAATATGTGGCCTCTTGTGAGCGGTCTGGTTTAGACGGAGTACACTTTATCCTGTTGGAGGAGTATAGCATAATTAATTTTGAAGTTTAAATTTGCTTATTTTGTCCTACTTTCTTTCTAGATAGATCAAAAGCAAAAGTGTCAACTGTTGGATATTCAAAAGCTAGCAGATTAAGAGTTAACCTAAAGGAAAGCATTGGTACATATGTGAGACCATATCGTGTAGGTATTTATTGTTGGTGCTGTCTTTATATGTAAAAAATCTTGGCCCCTAAACATTTCAGTGAGCCTGATTTTACGGAAAGAAATGTTGCATTTTATTTATAGTTATTAGCTCACCTGCCCGAAGGGCAAGTGAGCTTATGTCATGGTGCGCCGTCCGTCCGTCCGTCCGTCCTCGTCCATCAACTTTTCCTTTAAACAACTTCTCCTGAAGAACGGACAGGCATAGAGTCATGATATTTGGCTGAAAGCTTTGTTGGTAGGAGCCCTACAAAGTTTGAGAGCGAAAATGACCTTGACCTACTTTCAAGGTCACAGGGGTCAAATATGTCAAAAACTTCAAACGACTTCTTCAGAATAACTAAAAGGTATAGAATCTTCATATTTGGCGGATGGCTTCCTGGGATGGAGCCCAACAAAGTTTGAGAATGAAAATTACCTTGACCTACTTTCAAGGTCACAGGGGTCAAATGTGTCAAAAGCTTCAAACGACTTCTTCTGAAGAACAGAAAGGTATAGAATCTTTATATTTGGCTGGTGGCTTCCTGGGATAAAGCCCCAAAAAGTTTGAGAATGAAAATTAGTTTGACCTACTTTCAAGGTCACAGTGGTCAAATATGTCAAATGCGTCCAACAACTTCTTCTGAAGAACTGAAAGGTATAGAATCTTTATATTTGGCTTGTAGCTTCCTAGGAAAGAGCCCAACAAAGTTTGAGAATGAAAATGACCTTGACCTACTTTTAAGGTCACATGAGCAGATATGTCATTAGACACTTCAAACGACTTCTTCTGAAGAACTGGAAGTTATAGAACCTTAATATTCGGCTGGTGATTTCTTGGGAAAGAGCCCAACAAAGTTTGCGCATGAAAATGACCTTGACTTACTGTCAAGGTCACAGCGTTCAGATATGTCAAACAGTTCAAACTACTTCTGATGAAGAATTAAAAGGCATAAAATTATAATATTTGGCTGGTGACTTCCTGGGATTAAGCTTACTAAAGTTTGCGAATGAAAATGACCTCAATCTACTTTAGAGGTCCCAGAGGTCAACATTTTAATGAATTTGTTCTTAAGAACTAAAAGGAATGGATTCATAAGATTTGGCTGGTAGCTTTTTGGAATAGAGCTAACCAATTTGAGAAGGAAAATTGCATTGACCTACTTTTACAAGGTCACAGGGAAAAATATGTCAAGCAACTTCTGAAGAAGAATCAAAAAGCATAGAATCTTATAATAATATTTTGCTGGTAGTTTCAACAAATTGAGCCAACAAAGTTTGCAAGGAAAATATTTTTAGTGTAATATAATATTTAATGAGAATATTTTGCTATGACTGCTTAAATATTCAGGTGAGCGATACAGGCCCTCTTGGGCCTCTTGTTTTTTCTTAATATTATACATGAGAAAATATTCAGGCTGAACTGGGCTACCTTAATTCATTAGTTTTAACATATAAAGATAAAAGTGTTTTCAGTCAAGTTTTAAAATACTATTACATTGTATATAATAATCAAATTATTGTTACTCAAAGGTTCTTTTTTATGTTAAATGTTCATATCTGTTTGTCATTTGCAATGTTTCCTGAAAATATGTAGAGTAAAACAGTTCAAATATAGTATATGTTCAAAAAGACTGCTTGGAACTTTTTTCAATATTTTGCTTACTCTAGTTTGGCCAGAAAAAATATTGGATTGAAAGTGTTTATTAGTCACATCAAAATTTAATCATTTCATTGATTGGTTAGACATAAAATTTGAAAATTATTTTAAAAGTCAACACGTTAAGATCTTTTTTAATTGCATGTCAAAGAAGCTAACACTTTCTTTCTTCATTTTTAATAAAAAGACACGAAATAAGTTGCTGAAACGACTAGAACCAATTTCCAAGCGTCATCTGAAGGTATCTTCGCCTACCATTGACTCCACCACAGATAATGCTGCTCTGGAAATCAACCAGAATTTGATAGAATCTAGTCATTTTGAACTCCTTCAAGTAAAAGAGGAACCTGTAGACTGCCACAGTGCCAGTGGGACAATGGACTTTCAGTGTATCCAGAGGCCATATGGAGGTATTCACTTCTAGTCACTCATTTTAATTACACAATGGAAGATTCTGCTCTCTGGCAAAATGTTTATATCTGAAATATTTCAAAACATAGCTTTAATATTTTCAAAATATGACCCTTGCAACTTATTTAAGTTAGGGGTGGGGTGTAAAATGTCTGGACAACTCCTAAACTAAAAAAAACTGATTTCAACGAAAGTTTATATATGCATGATTGGTACTTGACATTTATATTTTGGTTTCTACTCTTTATTTCCCCCCAAGTTTTTGCCCTTTTTGTACCTTTCAAACCTTATCTTGAATTATTTTCCAAACTGATATGACCAATTGCACTGAAATCTTCAGAGTGATACATGGGGATAAACTTTACATCAAATGACCAACTTTAATTTTTGGGATTAAAGATGGCCTCCATGGCCTCTGATTAGTAGAGACAGTAACAATTATGAAATGAGTTTCATTGGGTCAACTTTGTTGACACTTCACTAGGAGGGAGTGATACATATCAGAGATATACTTTATGGTAAAAGGCAGATTTTTAGGTCACCTGAGACAAAGTCTCAAGTGACCTATTGCGATCGCCTTTTGTCCGTCGTCGTCCGTCGTGCGTCCGTAAACAATTTACATTTTCGACTTCTTCTCCAAAACCCCTGAACCAATTTCAATGAAATTTTGCAGAAACCTTCCATGGCCAAAGGTCAACAAAAATAGTTGCCGGGCCTGAGGGGCGGGGCCAAAAGGATCAAATTGACTAAAATTTCAAAAATCTTCTTCTCAAGACCCAGATATGGTAGAATCAAATACTCTTCATAGATGGAAGGGTCTTAAGGTGATTTACCAAAATTGTGAATTTCTTGACCCTGGGGTCTCACGTTTCCCCCTGGGGAGGGGGTAAACTTTACTATAGTTTATATAGGGAAATCACATTTTGGACCAGCATTTGTTTAATTTCCATTGGAAGTAATTACATTTTTGTTAGCATTATCAGTATTGGGTAGCAGTTTGATGGTATGTACATATGAGCCCTGACTAACCCCCCCCGGGCTATTGGGTGGGGCCAAAAAGGGTTGAATTGACTGAAATTTCAAAAATCTTCTTCTCAAGACCTAGATATGGAAGAATCAAACACTCTTCATAGATGGAATGGTCTTAAGGTGCTCTACCAAAATTGAGAATTTCATGATCCTGGGGTCTCACGTTTCCCCCTGGGGAGGGGTAAACTTTACTATAGTTTATATAGGGAAATCACATTTTGGACTAACATTTGTTTAATTTTCATTGGAAGTAATTCAATTTGGGTTAGCATTATCAATATTGGATAGCAGTTTGATGGTATGCACATATGCGCCTTGACTGACCCACCGCCGCTGATTGGTGGGGCCAAAAAGGGTTGAATTGACTGAAATTTCAAAAAAAAATCTTCTCAAATACCCAGATATGGTAGAATCAAACACTTTTCATAGATGGAAGGGTCTTAAGGTTTATGACCCTAGGGTTTCACGTTTACCCCCTGGGGAAGGGGGGGAGGGGGGTGTCAAAATTTATTATGGTTTATAATGGCAAATGATACTTTGAAACTTTTGAGCCAGCCCTACCCCCAAGGGCTGTAGGGTGGGGCTCAAAGGAGTCAGTGTGCTAAAATTTCTTCATTTTCCTTGTTTAGAATCAGAGGTACTAGTTTCAAATACTTTTTAGTCTTAAATCTGTATGCTAGATATTGAATAAGGTGGTTTTATTGTTTTTTGTCACTGAGTAATATTTCTGTTCGTTTTAAAAACAAAATCAACTCTCTGTATAAATATATCAGGTGACCGTCAAGGCCCATGGGCCTCTTGTTAAATTAAATTTTGGTATTAAAAATGGCTGCTATAGCCTAAAACAACAACAGTTATATTTATACTTTATATTACAAGGTAATTTCTTTAGGGCCAACTATATTGATGCAGTGGGTACTTTGTAGGAGTGATACATAAGGGATATACTTTATAAGGCCACAGTTTTTAAATTTAGTATTGGCTGATTGGCTGAGAAATTAAAGACTTCAATGATTAGATGGTATTAGTATGCCTTTTGCTTACAGTTCTAGGTTCTCCTAGGCAAAACATGTGACAAAGATGGAACTATTCAAATTGATCACTAATATACCCGAGTGACTTAAATGATGTGTCTCTTGTGAGTTTCCTTGCTTTAACAGGTCATATAAAGGAGGTATCTGCTATCCCTGTGAGAGTTCCTGATGAATAGGTCAGATTATTGTAGGATGTGTCTCTGTGAGTTTCCTTGCTTTAACAGGTCATATTAAGGAGGTATCTGCTATCCCTGTGAGAGTTCCTGATGAATAGGTCAGATTATTGAAGGATATGTCTCTGTAAGATTCCTTGATTTAACAGGTCATATTAAGGAGGTATCACTGTGAGTGTTCCTGACTAATACTAGGTCAGATTATTGTAGGATGTGTCTCTGTGAGTTTCCTTGATTTAACAGGTCATATTAAGGAGGTATCAATGTGAGAGTTCCTGACTAATAGGTCAGATTATTGAAGTGTCCCTGTATAGAAAGTGTTCTAGACTTACAGGTCAGGTTAAGGTGTCAACCAAAGTGAGTGGACCTCTCAGGTCAGATTATTGAGGTGACACTATGCAAGTATTCATGACTAACAGGTCAAATTGAGGCATCACTCTAAGAATTGTTCCTGAATAACAAATCAGACAGATTATTCAGAATTATGACACAATAGTTTAATTTAAACAATGCATATTTTGAGTATTGTAATGATGCTTTTTTTCAAAGTGTTATCTTCATTGAAACAAAACTTCTGTTATTTCAGAAGACATGGATGCATTCCTAGACCATAATGCATGCACTGCACCATCAACAATGGAGGACACACCTGCTTACTTTGTATGTATTTCTCTAGTACTGGAAACATCAGTTTAACCTTAAACAATCATTTTACACAATATAACCATAACCCACTTAACTGGAATTTGATGCATTCAGGAAAATGCTGCACTTATCTGTATGTTGGAGTGATTTAATTTAATAAGAAGAGTATTTTTCCAAGTGTAAGGTGAACAGGTCCTATACTTCAAAGGACAGTTTGAATTACTACTCTTGAAAAATAGTTGCAAGCTAATTGACCAGGTGAGCAATGCAAACTTCATTAAAAAGACTTCAAACAGACTTTCTTATGTTGTTTTCAAGTTATTATGGTTTATCATTTTACATCATTGTTCCCAAAATATATGTTTGTATAGACCAATTAAAATATTGGCAAGAAATGGAGAAGGTTGATGAACTTTGACGTGAATGAAATCATGTATTTTCTAACAAGTGATGTAATAACACCTTGCATAACAGACTGAAGACTTCCTTCCTACATCAACAACCCTTGACAACTTTCCTGATGCCTTTGAGTTGATGTCAAGTCCTCTTGGAGCCAGGTCTAAATATGTCTTGCTTAGCCCTAAGGTCAGGGCGATGGTGAGTAACTTCAAATACACAATGTTGAGTCTGCCAATTGTGTCATTGTAAGTCAAACCATGCATACATTATATGTGTATTGAATAAATTACAACCATGTGTCAAACATAAATTTACCTGGAGTCAATCCAAATGCACAGCGGCAAGTCAAACCAAATAAAATATTGAATGTCATTTATGGTGAGTCTAACTATTTAAACACAAAACGGTGAATAAGACTAAAACGGTGAATACAAATTTTAAAGTCTCAATGACAAGACACCCCCAACAATATTTGAAAGCAAAAATGAGTTAAACTAGATCGCAATGGTGATCAAACAAAAAACTTGAATGCGAAATACATAATGGTGTGTCAAACCATGTACACTGTAATGATGAGCATAACCAAACATGGTATGCTGAATTAAACTAAAGAGGAATTTTGAGTCAAGAGACATAATGGGACTGGCTTTAATCCTGTAAATGAATTCTTGTTATGTAAAGAAGATAAAATTCCAGGAATGCAGTCATATTCCTTCTCGCATCTATTTGTATAACAGGAAAATCTCACTGACTTTGGAATTAGAAGTGATAAAAAAGACTTTGTAGAGCAATGGGAAAACATCCATGAGATGAGGACCATCTCCCCAGAATGTGTTCTCCCAACCACACCAAGCCCCCATATCCACTCTACACTCCATGACAGCTTTGGATTCAGGACCCTTCACCAGAGGTCATCTTACCAGTCTCCAAAGGTTGACATTCTTCGCACACCAGACAAAGATGTATTCAAGCTAAAGAATAAGCGAAAACAGTATACTCCTCACCGGTCACCATTCCATAACCTCACCAACTTTGGCAGCCAGTCCACGATGGTATCTACAGACAGTGAAGAAGACGCGCCCGTGTCCCTGGTCCTCCCCCGACACAGGAAGCCGCGTTCTCGTCCTCCTCTCATCAGGCCATCCAAAAGTAGGTTAAATCCCAATAGTATTACAGGAGACTGACCAAAAGTTCTGTAGGTTAAAATCCTCCTAGTTTTACTTTTGTAATATAGACATGTCTTAATTTGGGTTCCTTGCTTTTGTGACACATCTCTACAATAGATGGTACAAAGTAGATTGCATCCTTTTGTTGTAGCAATTTACAGCAGCTGGCTTTAAAGTTTTATTTTATTACTTAATGTTACCTTGAAGCATATATATAAACCTGTAGTGCAAAAATTATGCTAGGATGTCTAAATGTCTGAATAAGCAGTAAGTTACTGACTGGCAGAACAGTAGCAAGGGTCAAATGGACTGCTTTATTTTGTCCTCTCAAATATTCACCTTTCTCCAGTAAAATCTATATTACTTGGTAGTACAGTATTGATTTCACCTTTCAGAGTGGAATTGTTATATAAATAAGATTTATCAGTTTGGAAATATGTAATATCAAGGTTTTACTTTATACACAAACAATGTACGTATTTAACATGTTGCATTTATGCTTTGTAGCTGATGGTAACTATCATGAGATGAATTTCAATCATTATATAGGGCAGAAATGTCGTTAGTAAAACTGATTTGTGAACTTTTCCCAGCATACAGTATTTGTCTTTTGATTTGTTAATTCAGCAATCAGTAAACATAAGACATATCCCTAAATTTGTTACAGTTGATGAAGATTTTGTCTCCTATGTACCCTACATCTGGAAGTTCCACAATACCGCAATCACACGCAGACAGAAGGCAGAGGCAGCAAGACTGGAGGCTCAGTTATTCTCATCCTCCTCTGCAGACACTTGTCAGTCAGATCAAACGTAAAAACACAAACCTTTCATAGGTTGATACAGTGACTTTGAAGTTAGTTAGTCTGTTACAACAAAAACATTAATCCTAAGTAGGTTTGAAAGCATTCTCAGGTGGTAGGGATTCAAAGTTGAACAAATGGAGGGCTGACCCCATGGGGGTCCGACAGGTGGGGCCAAAAAGGAGTAATTTTGCCATATTGCTTTAAGTGACTCCTTCTCTAGAACTAAGTGATAAATATTAACCATATTTGATTGGAAGCATTCTCAGGTGGTGGGGATAAAGATATCAACACAGTCATGCTATTAGAATTGTCTCTGGAGTCTGCATGGCCCCACAATTAGGGACTTTTATTAAAATTCCTGGGCCATAACTTTGAAATGGTTGAGATCCCCACCTATTAACCATATACAATGATTGATGAGCATAAAGAGATGAGCACAGTCATGACATTATAATTGACCCTTGTGCCACTCCTTAGGACTTAATTCTTGGGTCATAACTTTGAAATGTTCAAGATCTGAAATGTTCAAGATCCCTTCCCCAAAACTATATAATTATGTTTGTTTAAGGCATAAAGCAATAAACAGTCACAATATAAGAATCGACTCTGGGGTCTGGCCCTTTCCCTATTGATTTAATTTCTGGGACATAACTTTGAAACAGTTGAGATCCCCAACCCACAGTCATATCATTGCTGGGCACAAAGATCCAGGTGAGCAATACAGGCCTTTGGGCCTCTTGTTATTCAAATTACACCTGTCACATGTTTATTTCTGGAGTAGCTCTAGCCAACTTAATATTTTATTTGAAGGCATGAAGAATTGGCAATTAGCAGACCAGTTAAAATTGACCACCGAAAAACAACCTGGATGAATGGCTTCATGATGTTCAGCAGGCTTAACAGGAGGACGTTTATTGAGTATGCAACATAGATCACCTGACCATAACTAATTTATTCAGTCAATTGATCGCCATTACATGTAGTTGTATGCAGTCATATAACTGGTGAACTTGTATTTACTGGTGTGTGAATATTCTTAATGCAGCTTGAATGCAATTTTCTGTTCCCAGGGTTCTTTTCCCCATTAATGGTGAAACAGTTAATTTTCCAATGAATTGCTCCATACACAATAAACATGCACATAATTTCATGGAATTTTCCTGGCTTGTTTCTTTGGTAACATGCATGATGGTTGAAGGCAACAGTTCTCAAAGGCTTCCCTAGCATTGTGGGACAAAAGTTTCAACTGTTCCCAAAACAGCCACGAAACAACAGTTTATAACAAGTAAAAGATACTCAATCAACTTTTGTTTATGTATCTGCGTTTAACATATCGGGTGTCATTACATCTGTTGTAGTGCCAACCCTGGTATACACACGTCCCATATAAGTAAAATGATGGGCCATGCCTGGAGGAACATGTCTCCACAGGAACAGCAGCCATACAAGTAAGAATAGAGAGAGAGGTTTAAAGTCAATTGCAAAAGTGTCAACTTTCAAATCTAGAAGTAAATTGTGAAATTTCATATTTGCAAAGATAAAACAATCATGTCTTAAAGAATATCGAAATGTACTGATATGCCAAGTGTGAATATTAAAGGGATTGTTTATGTAAAGATTATTCAAAGATTTGTTCTGACATCTAAAACTTTGATTTCCCTGAATTTACAGGGAGAAAGCCAAGGACTATGCTCGTCATATACAGCCAAGTGATGGAAGGGTTCCATTACAGGACAAGCTATCCCCAATACCAGTGATATCCAGCAGTGGTCTGAGTGTGTCTCTGGGCAATAGCAATGCTGAAAGCGTACCATGCTCCATCACCAACTATGTCAATAGACAGTAATGTCATAGAAAACTAACCAACTACATCGTACACATACAAAATCTATTATTACATTACTTTGCATCAATAGATTAGCAAGGCAAATCCACCATCAGACATATTTTGTGATAATATTTAACATAAAGTCTTTGTATTTATGTAGGTCTGTATACACCCTGAAAAAGTCTTTCAGTTAGTGTTTTTGACAACATACCTGGTATTGATGAATTCAATCAAAAAGTAAGTTATTATAATGTGAATTTTTACTAATGATTCATGTTCTGTATTTTGAATACATTCATACAGATATTTTTTTCACAAGTATGAAGAGTACATTATGTGAGAGATATATACTCCTAACCATAGGAAACCATAGCATTTTTTATTGGTTTAACATCCCAGAAAAGGTGCGGTGGAGATAATCCAGATTGCAATGGCAGCATGGTCATTGAGCTGATTAGTGTTAATTTTGACATCATAGTTTTGCATTTTTATGTCATGATCAATTAAATGATTCACTCTACTAAAGCTATCATCTATTAAACATACATTTCACTGGTAAAATCATGGTGAGTGACAAAGATGAATGTAGTAGGCCTGCAGATTTATTGAAGGTCCATACAAAATGTATATCTTGGAGTATGAATGGCATAACCATATTTTTTGGGCTCAATTGAACAATCTATATAGTACAAAACCCATATGATTGCTTCTTTATGTATCACTGACACAACCGTGAATTACAAATGTTGCTTCTATAATAGAATAGTACAGTACATGTATGTTATTTAACTGTGACAAACCACAAACAATGCTTTCTTACATTTGGATTAAATTTATATGATTGAAAGCCCAGAACTTCATATGTAAGTCAGCAATTCTTCTTCTGTTATAAATATATGCCTTTAAATATTGGTACTTTGTAAATTGAAAGTAATATTTCTTGAATAATTTTGAAATCTGTCTTCAAAATCTTTCATGCAAAGTCACCTGATTTTAGTATTTGTCATTCTACTCTTTTCAAAACAAGTTGCTTACAATCATAGCGTTTGTGGAATTGACAGACTATCATGTGTATATAGATTGCGAAATTCCTTCTGAAGCCTTTAAGGGATTAATACCTGTGGAATAAACTTATTCATTTCTAGGAAATAAAACAGTGTATACTGTAAAAGAGGAAATTCTCGGCTGTGGAAATATTTGTGTTGCGACTCTTCAAACTGATTGTGGTGTGGAAACTTTTACGTTGTTGATGGCTCTGAAACCTATATATAATACATCTATAACCTTCATATACCTATATATATGGTATGTTTGTATTTTCACGCTAATTTACTCTAAAAAATGTGAGCATTTCCAGCCCGCAATAATTTCCACTTTTACAGTACTGTAAATTACTGTATTGTCGCATGTACTTATTTAGCAAACAGTTGTCCGAACTATGCCTGTAGGTTCCAATCACAATTAAATACTTGAATTCACGAGGTAGGGGATGCTAGTTCAATATAAATACAATGAAGTAGTAATCCATGGAATAAATATTGGCAGAAGATTTTAATTTCCGAATGAGTCTTGCTGCAATTTGATGCAACAGTTAATCTTTTGTAGAAATATTGTGGTTTATGTAGGTAGTAATTAGTGTCCATATCATGACAGTACATTTCATACTTAAATTTCTCTTGGATATTATTTATGCATAAATGTGTTTTTGAACAGTGTATATTTTAAAGTTATTTTGTTTCTGTCACCTTTTCTGTATAGCATTTGTGACACTTTCCCCATGTATGATGTAACACTTAGGAACAGTGCAATACCACAATAAGATGTAATGAATGTAGGTGACAGTGAAGGTGTATTTTATTGAAATGATCCCCTCAGACACTCGATGAATTTACTGTGCAGGAGGTCAATTATTGCGTGTCATATCATGTAAATGTATCGGTATCAGAATCATATAGTTTAACCTTTAGTTTCACATTTGTTCTTGAGTAGAAAAACCATGCATTGTATTACTAGTTATAGTATTGCAAAATCAGAATATGTTGTGATGGCCTTGGGCCAGATTGTTTTTCTTCGTTCCATATTTAGCTATACGAATAATGTACAGAGCAGATGCACTTGATACTCAGTAGTCATAATTCTCAAAGTGTCCATTAGAACCTTGATAACCCTGCAGTTCCTCCAAAGTAATTCAAGAGTTTCTGAGTGCCATGGACAGAGAAAAAAAAATGTTGGGTTTTGTTGCTTTTACTTTTTTTCAATTTCATATCTAAATCCTGGATACTTTTTTATATACATTTAAATGTATAGATGTACATATATGTACATATATGTAAATAACAAGTTTATGAATAATGCCATCAGAAATTTTATCACATATTTTGGCCTATCCTTGAAAAATTGTTTGTTTGCAGTTTCCCCAACCAACTCACTTCAAAGTGCACCTAATTTTTGGGGGCTTTTGGTAAAAAATCAAATTCTTGCTAAGACATCACAGAAACTTACCGTTTGTATATAAAGAAATATGAGATGTCGTTTATTTTAAGGATAGCTTTAGATGTTTTTTTTAGGTACATGTGATAGTATCAGTCACTGATTTTTACCACATTGTATTCTGGGACCTAATACCATACTATTAAATGTAAGTTACAGTTCTATTTCATATTAACCAACACGTATTTCTAAATACATGGTTCTGTGCAGAGCTAATGTACTTTTATAATTTGTCTCGTCAGATACCAGGTAACTTTCTAACACTATATAAAGAGACATGCTTATCACCCTACACTTCAATTAGTCCTGTCTTTACCATAGAGTTTAGTAAGATTTTGATCATGTTCAGTTCATGTATTTTTTTTATCTATTTCATTCACAAATAAACTGTATGACAGAACATCAACAAATGCTTAGCTTTTTCTCCAATGCACAATATGTTGGGTGCTAAGATTGACATGGGGAACCTTCATGTCCAAGATGGCTAACTGTCGGCCATCTTGGATTTCCAATCAGCCCAAAAATTTGATATGCGTAACTAGGGACCATGGGGAGTGAAATTTGAGAAAGATCCCTCTATCTTTCTGAGAAATAATAATAATAATCTTGCCCCACCATCTTGCTTTTGTGATCAGTCCCAAAATTTGATATGCATTACAAGAGGCCCAAAGGGCCTGTATCGCTCACCTGAATGTGTTTAAAATAATTAGTATGAAGTAAAGATATAGCACTCAATGGTAGGCAAGTACATATGAATCTTCAGAAAGATCCATCCTGTACTTGAGATATAGCGAGAACAAACTTCAAACAGCCCAACCCCTATGCCCCTAGGGTGGTCATACCCACTGTTTATACAAAATTAAGTCCCCTGGCCCAAGGATGCTCCAGACTGAATAAGGATAAAACCCCTTAATCCTGATGGTCGAAGAAGGATTTTAAAGGTTTTACCTCTATTTCTCCTACGAGGCCCCACCCTTCTGCCCCCTGGGAGACCACACCCACTGCTTATACAAAACTGAGTCCCCTTGGCCAAAGGATGCTCCAGACTAAATTAGGATAAAATCCCTTTATCCATATGGTAGAAGAAGGATTTTAAAGGTTTTACCTCAAAGTCCCCTTTTAGGCCCCACCACTCTGCTTTCAGGGGGGTTAGACACACCATTTATACAAAATTGGTTCTCCTTCACCCAAGGATGCTTCATACCAAATTTAGACAAAATCCTGTCATTCGTACAAAAGAAGGTTTTTGAAGAACTTGCTATGTTTTCCCTAATGGGCCCCGCCAATCTGTCCCAGGGGGGA